GAATAACTCTAAAGATTGATTCATAAAAGTTTAATATAAAAGGAAAAGGGCCTATAAATAAAATTGCACTCCTTTTTTAATCAGTTAAGAGTCTTAAAATACTTAGGGCTAATCATCTTTGGGTTTGGCTAAAATAATGACTCAAAAGATACATAAAAGTTCAAATATAAAAAAAAAATCACCCATAAATAAAAGTGCACCCCTTTTTTTAATTAGTTAAAAGTTTTGAGATACTTAAGATTAATTATTCTTGGGTTTGAATAATATTACCTTCTGGAAAATCCAAATTTTTGAGGTTACAGATAATTTGTAATGCCTTAACGTTTTAATTAAATGCATGACATTGTCTTAATGGAGGATATGAGGTCTTAAGTGTACAGTTAATATATTATATACTATTATTAGATGATTACCATCCACATCACCAAGAAACCTAAATTGCCAAAGCCACACTTAAAAGTACCTCAGACAGATTAAAACCGTACCGTACCACAGCGAGTTATTAAGTTGTGTAATCAGCATTGATCTTCACATAGTCGTAACTCAAGTCGCAGCCCCACGCAGTGGACCGTCCTTTTCCGCCACCTGAAACACGGCACCACCTCCGTTGGTCACTCGTCACACAACAGCATCCAGACCGATTGAGATTGTGATGGCAACGACGCCGTGAACTTCTCCAGCCGCGAGTAAGTAGTCTTTGGCTGCTCCGCTGCATTGCGTCCCTCGGATCAGGTCTGGATAGATACATACAACGGATGACTCACCGGTCAAACTCCAAGGGCTGCCCCTTCTGCATCAGCACAAAAGTCCCGAGCCGGATTTCCAGCTCCTGAGGGTCGAAGTCAACGCCCGAGTAACCTGCTGCGCATGCTACACGCCCCCAATTCGGATCCCTTCCATAGACAGCAGCCTAGTTCACACCAACGCTCAAGTGAAAGATAAAAAGAGAAAGTAAAACGCAACCTTGACCAGGGACGATCGAGCAACTGAACGAGCGACAACAGCTGCAGCATCATCGGAGTGAGCGCCTATGACTTCCACCTACATCAAAGCAGACTGTGAGAAAGGTGCATGCAGCGGAGCTTACAAACCTCGACAAGACATGTAGCACCTTCCCCATCGGAAGCAATAGACATTGCCAGGCCTTGGAACACCTGTATAGCCATACAAGATACAATGAATAGCTTGTCAACACGAACAAAAGGCAGTAACATGCTCACTGCATCCAGTGCGGCTTGGAGTTGCTGTGCATCACGGTCTTGCATATTGTCGAGCAGACGTCCACGAGAGGCACCGCTGGCTAGTGCTAGGACGGTATCGTTGGTGCTCGTGTCTCCATCCACCTGAGAGTATACGCTCCTTATCTCACTGTTGAAAAGAATTGCATACCGTGATCTGGTTGAAGCTCCGGCCAACAGCAGTTTTGACCAGATCTTGCCACACATCCGATGCAACGTGAGCATCGCATGTTACAACCTGCGAATAAACTCAAGATTCATTCTTGATAATCAAATAAGGATTACACTAAGCATCGTCGCCATGTTTGGATGGATCATCCCAGATCCTTTCGCCATGCCACCGATCTTAACGGTCGTTCCTCCCACCTACAGGACTAGCTTTAGTAAGGCACTCATGCATCTGAAGCCTCACCTCAGTCTCGATGGCAACACTCTTGGTAACAAGATCGGTGGTGGTGATCGCAGTTGCAGCAGCATCACCACTTCCATGGTCCGATGAGAAGAAAAGAAAACAAAAGAGAAAACGTGCACACCTGTCAGCAGTGTAAGAAAGTGCTCCCACCAGCCGAGGAAGAGACGCTAATAGAGCATCCTAGAAATAATCGGTCAAATGATTATGAATTTCCAAAGCAGACCATGCGGCCTTACCTTCTTGATGCGTTTGCCAATTACACCGGTGGACTGGAGAAGAACACGTTCCGGTTGAGTGCCGAGGAGCTACAGAAACGAATAACTAAAGTCCCGCGCAGGAGCAAGCGTCGTCTACCTTTGCAACAGCAGTTGCGCAGTCGAGGGCGTCTTGGTAACCTGCATCACCCTGATCAAAGCCGTCAGTGACGCGTGCATGCATGGAGAAACGTGCTCACAGTTGCAGCATTCGCTTGACCCGCATTGATAAGAACTGCACGCGCCTGGATACACACCAAAACTTTACCAGTAACAAAGCGGAGAATCGTGCCAACCTTGGTTGAGGCCGCCAGAATGCGCTTGCAGTACAAGACGGGCGCAGCAGCCACGACGTTTGTTGTGAAGGTTCCTGCGTGTGCCATGTAAGAAGAAGACACAAAGGGCAAGGAGGAAAAGAAGCGACCCACCGGCACAGACGGCGTCCACATCCGAGACAACCAGGGCGAGGTCTGGTTTGGTGCCAAGTGCTCTTAGTCCGCCATACAAGCCAGCAGCCCGAAAGCCGCAAGGTCCAGTGACACCGCCTGGAATCTAGAGACTCCCAAGTGCGAGTAAGCAAACAAGAATAACTTACCTGCGTCCAAGGGCCTCGGGGGAGCCGAATGTGAGCTGCAGGAAGCGCGATCGTCTCCCCGCTGGTAACAACCTCGTTGTGTAACGACGACGCCTTGGCACCCATTGTCAGCATTGCTCCCCCCGCCATTGCTGGCGCTCTGGAATCAGGACGGGGACAAGCACCCTAATCGACAACAGGTAGAACAAGTAAATTATGTAGCTTGAAAATTTCCTTGTTACAACATGCATGAAGGGGTGGTCCTTCGCGCGCGACTTCGGAGCTCCTCAAATGCTTGCATGGTCTTGTCGTCGAAACCACCGGCGAACTGTATGGGCAAGAAGATGATATGCTCAAATAAGAAGAAAGATGTACCTGGTGAACACGAAACGCAAAGCGTACTCCTTGCAGCAGTAGAAACTCCTCCACAAGCTCATCGCTGCCTGCGCCATCTAGCTCGAGTACCACTCGCTTCATAAACTTCTCCGCCAGCTTTACCGATGACTCCTTCATCTGATCGAAACATTCATGGACTTGAGGTGCAGCAAAGCACTTTACCTTTCCAACGAGTCCACCATCCAGCATCCAGTTCGTAGGAATGCCAGACTCTTTGTAGCGAATAGCAGCTTTGTCTCGCGTACGTAGAAAACAATAGATGCTGTGCTCTGTCCTGCCAAGTCAGAGAGAGGGCTTACTTCAGACTCTTCCTCGCCTTGAAATGTACCTCTCCATCACGGTTTGCATTCGGTTTAAAGCGGGATCGCGTTTCATCCCGTAGTCATCCTCAAACGAAGCCAGCTCGAGCTCCAGCTTCCTCAAGTCTCGATACTGAAATGCAGATTCGCGCAGAGCATCCGCTTTCGCTTCTGGCCAGTTAAAGTGCTTGAGAACGGCACGCTCGTCCACCTGCACAATGAAGCTTATAATAGCCAGCATGCATGGCTCCTGGCTAGCTAGCACGTACCAGCAAAGCGAGCTCTCCATCCAACCAGGTCACAAATGCAAGCACGTCCTCCATCTCAGTGTAGTCTGCGGCACGGACTTCCGCCGCCAGGGACACGACAAGCTCACGCTGGTTCTCTACGTCCGCTTTAATCTGTTCGCCATGATATAAGTTTCCCAGTAGTTAAATTACGTACCGCCAGCAGATGTGACGACCTGTTTTCGATTTCCCCGATAATGCTGCTCCGTGCTTCATCGACACTGACTCGTGCTGCTGCGGTCGCAGTTGATGGTGCATCTTTCTTGACGTCACGCTTCGTCATTGCATGGTAGAGCTCAATCACCTGTGGTGCTCTCTGGAACCGGAGCTTGTTATCACTTGAGCTTGCCAGAGGGGAAGACGACGACATAACAGCTGGACGAGGCGGTGGTAGTGGCGGTGGAGGAGGCGGAGGACGCGCTGAAAGACTTGCTGTTGCTGCCGCCGCCGCCGCCGACGATGAGGACGAGGACGCCTCAGGTGCACTGTCCACAGCCAGCTTGTGCCTGTCTTTGAAAGCTGGATACTTGTCTGCCACCATGGAGCGGGACATAATCTGCAAAGACTCTGCTATGCTGGTGCTGTTGTACGTATCGCGCCTATCGTCGGCTGGCGGCCTGGCAACATATCCGAAGGAGTTGTTTCTTTTCCTCGACCACGTCCGGCTCAGCTTCCTGATGAAGCTCGGCTTGTTGCCATTCTGTCGCTGTTCAAGCGCCGGGAAGCCACAGCTAGACTCTGATGACTTGGAGGTTGTGTCGCAATCGCCGTCGTCGTTGTTATCAGTGCGAGACGTAGCAAGCTCCGCCCCCGCATATTCGAGCACAAGTCGCTTGGCTCTCTGGCCAGAGTTTGGGCTCAAGACCTTGCTGAGCTGCATGGCCTGGCAGTTGACGGTGCTGTCCATCATGATATTGCGTAGCTCGTAGCGCAGGCAAGCATTGACCCAGCGCAGGTAGACCAGCTCCTCCACCTCGCTGAAGCGCTGGTTCTGCAGCCCCTCTACCTGCCTGCGCAACTCTTGGTTTGCTGGCCTCAGTAACGCTGCTTCCGCCTCCGCCATGTCCTTCTAAGGCAGCCAAAGCCATGACCGGTGTTAAGTACGTACATACATGTATACCTTGGCGAGGAGGGTGGAAATGTGGGCTTGGGCCGCCGCCAACTTGACGTTAAGGTCACGGTTTTGAAGCTGCAGCTCCTTGTTGGTCCGGCGTAGCTCTAGAGCGTCACCCTGTAGCCTCTTCACCTGCTGCAATATGGCTGTGTTGCAGTAGTCGGCGAGGAGGATCTTGGAGTAGTCCTCGTCATGGTTTGTGGTTTCTTTCAGGGGAAGGGTGACCCGTTCTTCACCACTGCCCTTGCAGCCGTGGCTCCGGCAGCGCCATTTATCGTTTTCTTGGTCTTCCAAGAAGTCCAAGATTTCCATCGCCTGCGAAAGCTACGCTAGACGAAGCAAAAAGAATGGCACTTACCACCAGTTGGAGGCTGCGCTGCTGCGGCTTGGCGTCGGGGTTCTTTTCCAACTAGTAGGGCAAGGGGATGGGAAATTTGTTCTGGATGGTTTGACACATGGTTTGACGGGTTACAAAACTAAGATTTTCAAAAAGCAAAGCACTACAAGACGGCTTTCTTCTTGGGGACGAGTATCGGCGGCTCGATATCTATGCCCATGTTGGCAGCGGTCCCCGCAATGATTCGCATAGCCGAGTCGATGGACGTGCAGTTGAGGTCGGGGAGCTTTTCCTTGGCTATGTCTCTCACTTGATCCGCCGTCACCTTGCCCACTTTGACCCGCTTGGGCTCGTTGGAACCCTTCTCGGCGCCTGGAGCGAATTGTCACACATAATAAGCATATGGCCGCGCAGGGGAAGAGGGACGACCAAACCTGCGGCTTTAAGGAGTAGCACTGACGCCGGAGGTGTCTTGAGGATGAAGGTGAAGCTCTTATCCTGCATTTGGCGACATTTCAGTCACTCGACTAGGAGGAGAGAGGTAGCTCACGTCGAAGACTGTAATCTCCACGGGGATAATGTAGCCGGCCTTGTCGGCCGTCCTGGCGTTGTATTCCTTGCAGAAGGCCATGATGTTAACGCCCTTGGAACCCAGAGCAGGGCCGACCGGAGGAGCCGGCGTCGCCTTGCCCGCTTGCAATGCCAGCTTCACCATGCCCGTCACTGCACTAGCTAGTTATAACGCACATCACTCGTTCAAGCTGCCATACCCTTTTTGGCCTTGCCGGATGGCTTGGGAGGCGCCATGGCAAACACCTGGACTCCAACCCCGCCGCCCAGCCGTCCCCGGCCGCCGCCACCATGGGCCCTGCTCGGCGCCCTCCACGGTGCCAAGCACCTGTCACTGCCGGTGCCTCTCAGGAATGTGGAAGCTGCTGCGCCTCCCCACACAGCCGCCATGGCCGGACCAAAGTGCAGTGTATATTTACACGCCGTTGGATAAAACAATGCTTAGGTCCAACAATCTTAACGTAAGAGTGTTGGCTGGCTGACTAGAGGAGCTGCACGGCGGCGATCATGGGGATCTTCTCCCGCAGCTTCTGCGTCACGGCCACACGAACAGTCATGACCCCGGCTGCAGGACCCTCGATGCGTATCTTCACCACCGGCCCATCGATCTTGACAAGCGTCAGCTCCCCTCCGCCAGTTCCCACCAAGTAAGGCCGTATCTCCGACAGTATCTGCGCACGAGGCTGTGTGACACCAAAGCATGGAGAGCCCCCGGAAGCTTACCTTGTCAACGTTTTCCTCTGTCAGCTCAAGCCCCGTCTCCGTGTCTTGCACCTGCTCCACGCCGATTATCTCCGGGATCTTCTCCTTGAGCCGGGCTTCGATCCCCATCTTCATGGTCATGAGCGAGCTGGGACAGGATCCGCACGCCCCTTGCAGCTTCAACTTGACCACCAACCCGTCAATCTCCTCCAGCGCCACGTTTCCCCCGTCGGACATCAAGTACGGCCGGACTTCGTCCAGCACCATCTCCACATTCTCCTCCGTCAGTGCCAGGCCATCGTCCGTGGCCGCCGTCTCTTGCGTTGCCACAGCAGCTCGCACCTCTGCCAAGATAGATATATGTATTTGTATATGACACGGGCCGCTCATTCGTCAATTACCTGATCTTGTCCGACCGCCTCTTTGAGCGAACGAGGTTGCTACTGCTGTAATGGTGACGGGATGATGAAATCCACTCGCGCAGTCGTGCGGCTGCCATAAAGCAAGAGATTTGTGTATGGAGAGCTTACTTACACGAGAATTGGACCGTCTGGGCAGGCGTCCGCCGGCTTGCAAACCCGCGCGGCACAAGGAGGAGGAGGAGGAGGAGGGGGGAGAGGAGGAGGAGGGAAAGGAGGGGCGGAGCGGTGCGCAATTGTGATGAGGATGATAGCGCACCTGAAACTGGGCGGCTGCTGCGGCAGCCATGAAATCGAAATTGGATGCTCTGCTACAACCCTAGGTAGGGCACCTAAATAAAAAGGCCACGTGGCAGCTGCAAATAGAGCAAGGGTTTTGTTGTTTCTCGTGTCTTGCCACAAGCAACGCAGCGCGTCTAAGCTAGATCGACTCCATGACGACACTGGTTGGAGCTCCCAAGCCGCTCAAGGAGGCAAACAGCTTGGAGGCTGAAGAGCACGCCAAGTTTGCTGTGGAGGAGCACAATCGCCAGGTACGTTTTTTTTGTGTCCGGTTGGGGGATAATCTCATTCATTGTGTGGCTTTGCAGAACCCAGAGGCGAATCTGTGCTTCAAGAGGGTGGTGTCTGCTCAGACACAAGTGGTGTCTGGAACCATGTTCCACTTGAGCATCGAAGCTCACTCTGAGCAGCATGGTACCGGCGTCTACGACGCCAAGGTGTGGACAAAACCATGGGAGAGCTTCAAGAAGCTCGAGGATTTCAAGCCTTCCAAACAAGGTTCGGACTTGTTCTTCCTTGTGTGTGTGTGTCGAGCTGCTTCTCTTGTTGCTCTCCAGAGGCTGCCGGTGCTGCCATTGCGCTCGATGATCCCGTGGTGATCAACGAGGCAGCCGAGCATGCTTTGAAGGGTCTTCAGCAGAGATCCAACTCTCTCATCCCCTACGAGCTTGACCATGTCGTCAAAGCTCAGGCGGAGGAGGTTGAAATTGACACACACCGACCATCCGATAAGGTTCTAATGTGCTTTCACTGTTTCTCTCGCCGCTGCAGGGAACGAATGCTCTGGATCTCGTGCTTAAGGTGAAGCGGGGTTCTCGGGAGGAGCACGTCAACGCTAAACTCCACCGTGGCGACACCGGTTGGACCCTTACAAGCGCTCATGTTTTATAATTACCTTATACCCACCACTACCACCACCCTCTCTACACTATAGAATTTACGAATAAAGACGTGTGCTTCCTCTTTTCCCTCCCAGCGTAGTCGCGTCGCATGTCGATGCACGATCACTTCCACCCGACGATTTAAGTTGCCCTCTCCCGAAGGCACTGAGAGCAAGATCTCTTTGCAACATGAAGGCGCTAGTATGTTCTCTTGTTCTTGCCCTCCTTGTGCAGCAGCTGGGAGCACAGCAGCAGCAGCAGCAGCAGCAGCAGGCATCCCAGCCCCTCTACATAAGCTACGCATCTCTGGTGGCCGACAGTGTCCCCTGCCCGCCACAGAGCGGCCTTTCCTACTACAACAACAACTGCAGCAGCATCAGCATCAACAGCAGCAACCAGACGGCTGTGGTACCTTCGGCCCGGGGCTGCTCCGTCATCACCAGGTGCGCCAGGGACACAAGTTGATCACGCCACGAGTGTGTAATATACGATGAATAAATTGTAGAGCGAGTGAATTCCCAGGCAAGCACCCAAGTCTCCAGTCTTTGCATACACGGTTCCCAGAATGCAGCCGAAAACAAACAGCACTAGCGTCTCTTCAGGTGCCTTGAAGTGAACCAGAGAGAAAATCAACGAGCTGGTGATAATGGCCCACGGAGGAGATGCATACGCAGCCAGAGACGTGAGGACAAATCCCCGGTATACGAATTCCTCGAGCAAAGGGGTGATGCCACAACAGACAGCGACGGTGGCACATAGAGAGACGCCACCACTGGCCAGAAGCTCCTTCAGCGCCGGATCGTAGTGGTTATTTTCGAGATATACCTGCTCCATGATTCCATGGTGGTGTGAGAAGGAAATCAATCACATGCTAGACTCACCGACGTGCCAGGCTTAGCTAGAGCCCAAAGGATGACGCTAGAGAGAGCAATCACGGCTGCAAGGAGACAGCCTCTACGTCCGCTTAGCATCTGATCAAAGCTCATACACGTCAGTCTAGTATCAAACTGCCTGATGCTCGACTCAATAAGCCAGACCGCCCCGCACAATTCAGCACTCTGCAACACGACCAAGGAAATTGCCTGTACAAAACAAAACAGAAGAGAGCACGCGCTATGAAAGTTGGAAACACAGCAGTTCATGTTTACCTTCACCTGGGGATCAAGCCCACAGTCCCTGCTTAGCATAGTTGAGACGATAGAAAGGCCGCTGTAGCTGAGCGGAACGTGTAATCCACCCAAGTAGATTATCATCGTGCTACCCACCACGCCACAACTCCATGGAGCAGCCCGCAGTTTCACCTACATCTCAAAAACTTCTTATCAGCCCAATTGCAGAGGTTCAGCCAGTTACCTTGGCATCCCTGTTTGCCGCTCCGTTAGAGCAGCAGTAAAGCTTGTGCCTTGCCGCCAACACTGAGCTCCATGAGCTATGGCTTAAAGTCAGCGCCTGAATCATCCCTACTCAGTTCTATATGATACAGAAAACCTGAACTCTGTCCATTGATCGAGGCAGTAACAAATATATTGTAAAAAAACCGTGCGAAAAAAAATTAACAACCTGCGATCAAAAGCGAGCGTGATACCAATTTCGCTCGAAACTCATTGGCTATGCTTACCGCACTGGGGTGAAGTCGGCAGCTTACACTTTGCCCGGTGTTCGAGCTGCACCATCAAAGTTTATTGCGACGGCTATTTTACACGATGCAGCAGCTTCTCTTGTTCCGGCTGTGTCATACAGATGTTGCAATCACGTCATTTGGTCAGTACATAAAAACTGCTCCATTGTTGTTTTTACGCGATCCTGGATTGGAAAAACTCAAAGTCAGCCGAGAAAGGAAAAAAAAAAAAAAAAACAACGATTACCTTCACATCTGTGCATGGATCGTCAAACATTTTCTGCAGTTGCAGCTGAATGCCAGCATCCCGAAGCCTTGCCACTCGAGTGCCAACCCCAGGACTCTCGGGGAAGCTCAAGTTTGATATACACCAGACTGCGGCAACACGAAGTTGCGGGTTGCTCATGTCCAGCAAAAATTTGATAAGGATCGATACACTGCGGTCGCCAGTCAAAGCTGGAGCAACAAAGTCCATAACAGCATCCTTGTGGTATTCGTTGCCTGCAGCAACGTTACTCAGGACATATAGTGCCTGTCAACACCCATGGAAATCTTAGCACAGAGAAGTCAAGCAAGTATGAAGAGGACCTGTGTGCATATTTCGGGTCGAGTTGCAACACAAAGCTGTCTCTCCACGGCATGCAATATAGCAGCGTCAGCCGCAAATATCTGTTGCACGGAGGCGACACTGCCATACACTAAGTTCCGAACGAAGGCCAGTGCTTGCTCTTGTACCATCTCCTCGGAATCTGTAAGCAGAAAAGGCAAGTAATCAGTATGACAGCTTCAATACGGGTACGACGGCGTGTGGAGTACCACAAACCAGGTCGACTAGTGTTGACACGGTCAATTCCCTCATTACTTTCTCCTTGACGCTCATGTCTGCCAAGTAAAGAAGGTTCCTCAGAGCCCAAACTGCATTCAGCCTGAGCATCGGCTCCATGGATAACGCTAGCTGGATAAGTTGGCTTACACCACCGCATTGAAAAAACACTGCTTTATGTGGTGTGAAGTCGAGCACAACGTTGCTCACGGCACTTAGCGCAGATGCCTGGACTGCCGGGGACGGATCATTGAGCAGCCTGAAGAGAGGCCACACCAATCGCTCATCGGTCAAAGTTGTACGTAAATTCTGCGAGTGAATTTAGTTCAGTACAATTACCATAAACGAGAGCCAAAAAAAGGAGAGGAAAGGATGAGTACCTTGACAGACCGAGAGATGCTCTTGATGCAAGCGCAGGCAGCTATTCGAACTCCTTCTGATTCATGTCCCAAAGCCATTGCAATGGAGCACTGTGCCTGCCAGGAAAGGTAAGTTAGATACATTGTTCACTGGAAAGTAAAAAACAGCACGCCTGGAGCTCGAGGAGCTTTCTCCGACTATCCTCCAGCCGAGAGCACAACTCGGCGAGTGCCATGAGAACTCCTTCCAGCTGCTTCTCTGGAACACAGCTTCTTTGAAGAACCTCGGCAAGTCTTTCGATGATGTTAAAATCGTAGGCTGTCTTCTGAAGCTCCTCGTTGTTCGCAACCAAATCTGCCAAAACTCCCGGTGCTTCTTCACCTACTTGGCCGTTCTCGTCAATAAGTTTGCCAACCGTCGAGAGAATACTCTTTCGAATGTCCCACTCTTGCTGATAAGCTCTGCCGATATTCGAGAGACACATGCAGGCTAGCAGGCGTGCCCTGGGTGACTTGTCCTTCATCGTCCTGCTGATGGTGGAGACGGCACCAGTGGCGGCCAATGCAGCAGAAGTGTCCGGGTTACCTCTTGTAAGTGCTGCCAATGCATCCAGAGCGGCCTCTTTTCTCTTGGGACTCCCGGACAAAAGGAAAACCAGGCTCTGCAGGCAGCCGGCGTCGGCCAGTGCTTTCTGGTGCTCGCTGGTCTCGCAGCATCGGGCTAACACACTGGCAGCAACCTCGGACACGTTCTCGTTGCCACTGTTCAAGAGTGCTAGAATGAGGTCGATCCTCCGGCCTTGGAACATGTCATTTTTGGGGGCGAGCGTGGATTGGAATATCATCTTGAGAGACCGGGCGCTGGCCTCGACGACCTGGAACGTAAGCAAAGAGAAAGGGAGTTAGTTTTAGAGGACAGTGGCAGGCGACGGTGGAGTGGCACTGCTACCTTGTTGTTGCCATTGGAGAGCATCCTGAGCAAGTGGGGGAGTACTCCACTGTCGAGCACAGCCTTGACGCCAGCGTCAGTTCCACATGCGAAGCTCCCAACCGCGGCAGCCGACTGGACCAGGAGTGGAATGTCGGTGTCACTGGCAAGGATCTCCACAACTCTTGGAACAGCTCCCAGCTTTATGTAGGACAGCTTCTTGGTCTTGTTGCCAATTATCTGGTTCTTCACGTCCCGGAGCGCCTTGAGCCGCGCGCTGGTGTCGAGCGAGCTGAGGCTCTCCACCAGATCTTCGGGCTTGGTGCACACCGCGGACGCCGGCATTTTGGTCTTGGAGGGGAGAGAATCAGGCGGAGGCTTCATCTAGCATGAGAGGGCAGCAGCAGTGTCACTATTGCTTTGCCCCAACAATTGACCATTCCCAGCTGACATTCCATCATTCCTGCTCGACTCATTGACGAACTAGCTACCACAATCTTACCCGCGCACGCTGCTGCTCTACAGAGCCTCTACTGACTTATTAGCTAGCCCACGCACAAGCACTTGATTCCTACAGTCATGTTGTCGCCAGTCGCCATGGGGATGGATCCAACCCAATTCCGAGAAGCGAGTCGCGAGAGAAGAAAGGAAAGAATGGCGCGGGCGCGGCCCTTGAGCGCTCAAGGGACAGACGCGACGCTCTCCTCCGTGTGCCCTAATTTTATGGAGAAATTAAGAAAAAAAAAAAGAATGGTGGCCATGGGACTTATGGCCGATATTCACAAGTGGCCACACCACTCTATCCACTACTTCGCGTACGGTTCTAGGGTTTATCGCAAAAGCCCGCATTTGGTTGCTTTGTGGTGGAGGAATGGCGAACGCTGCGGATGGCGATGGCCTCGTGGATCTGGAGCTCATCATGGACGCCAATCTCTCCTCCAGCTCCATTGCTCATGCCACATTGGGTGCCGCGCCCCCACCGGAGGAGCTGGAGGTGGAGCTGCACAGCGAGGTAGTAGACAAGCCGGCGCAGCGGCATTTCATTCCTTGCGGCAACCTGGCCTCGCTGTCCCTGGCGCTCAACACGCTGATGCCGCTCTCCTCCAAAGTTGGGGTTTTACCTCGCAAGCTGCTCGCTAAGCCTCCTGCCAATCTCCCTTCGCAGAAGAAGGCCAACTCGCCAATTCCCGTGGTGCCATCTTCGAAGCTCAAGTTTGGGCTGGATGTGGAGCCGCAGCAGCAGCAGCAGCAGAGCAGCGCCAGCAAGATTTGCAGCTCCGCCACCGCGTTCCCGGACTACCAGATGCTGCCGAGGTCGGGCAGGAGGTATGGCAACCCGGCAGCTGGTGCCGGCATGAGACGTGCGTCCATTGTGTGGTTTAGGAACGACCTTCGCGTCCACGACAATGAAGCTCTGGCCGCCGCAAACAAGGAGTCACTGTCTGTCATCCCCGTCTACTGCTTCGACCCCAAGGACTATGGCAAGTCCGCGTCCGGTTTCGATAAGACGGGGCCATACAGGGCCAAGTTTCTCGTCGAGTGCGTTGCCAACTTGCGGGACAACCTGAGGGAGCGGGGCTCGGAACTGGTGGTGAGGATTGGCAACCCGGTGGAGGTCTTGTCCACCATCGCCAAAGCTGTGGGAGCCGACGGGCTGTACGCTCATCAGGAGGTGTCGAGCGAGGAGCTGGGCATGGAGGACAAAGTCACATCTGCACTCAAGGACCAGAATGTAGACGTTAAGTTCTTCTGGGGAAGCACGCTGTTTCACGTCGATGACCTGCCCTTCAAGGTCGAGGATATGCCTTCCAACTATGGAGGCTTCCGCGACAAGGTCAAGGACGTCCAGGTTCGAGCGGCGACTGAGGCTCCCAAGCAGCTCAAGGGACTTCCATCGCAGGGTGACGTGAAAGCAGGAGACATTCCCAGCCTGCAAGAGCTTGGGCTCAGCCCCGTTTCTGCTGCAGGGCAGGTATGACACCGTGTTTGATTGATTGTATGCCAAAACTATGTGGTGAAAGCAGGAGAAGCACAAGCGAAATCGAATGATCGGCGGTGAGGTGGAGGCACTCAAGAGATTAAAGAGCTTCTCCTTGGTTTCACCGCCACCATCCAAGGGCGGTAAGGAGAACAGCATTTACGGGGCCAACTTCTCCTCTAAGATATCGCCATGGTTGGCAATGGGCTGCCTCTCGCCCCGGAAGATGTTTGAGGACTTGAAAAAGACAACTAGCAGGTTCGTCCTTGATAGCGTGGTTGCAAGTAGTTCGAGCGACTTATCACTTGGAAATGTGCAGATTGGTACCAAAGCCAACACCAACATCCGTAGCGCCATCTTCAGCAGCTAGCGGTGACTCCGGAATGCAGTGGCTTGTCTTTGAATTGCTCTGGAGGGATTTCTTCAGGTAAGCCTGTTCCTTTCTGAGTCGCGAGTAGTCTAGACTGTCATTAATCTGCTTGTGTTTCAGGTTTGTCACCAAGAAACACGGCGCTGCCAAGAAGACTCAAACGGAAGCTGTGCCAGCTATGGCGTGCGCCTAGAAAATTTCCATTTTGATGGCAAATTTTCTTTTTTTTTTTTTCCTTCTTATTTTGTTCCGCTGTTTTTTACAGTCCCGGTTTCGTTTCAGAGTGTTCTAGCTTTGATCCCTACTCGACGAACTTCCAACTTGAAGGGCCTCTCCTCCTCACTCCATGGCAATTCCCGAGGGAACTCGAGGGCCGCCGCCACGCGCATCTTCGTGAATCTGCCCAGCTCTATGACGTTGTCCTCGAACAAGAGACCTTGGCAAAGTTTAGAGGAAACAGGGAAGCAAACAGGTTGGTCGAGCAGGAAATGGAGAGGCATGTCGTAAACGTACCCCCTGGAGTGAAGTGAATGCCAGTGCCGCCGATGTTGTAGACGTTCACCATGAGGCGAGGGCCGGAGGCCGGGTCCAGCATCTTGTCGGGGCTAGCGAGGGGTATTCTGCGCTCCAGAGGGGAGTTAGATGTGCATGCGATGCGACAACACACCTGCAGCGAACGTCGATCCCGAGGTGTGTGTAGGAGGAGGGTGGCAGAGGCCATTTGCGGCGCAGCTCAATCGCGGGCAGCGGGAGGAGGTGTAGCGATGCATGCTTGGCTCGCAGCCTGAGCTTGGGCTTCACCTCTCCCTTGTCCACCTCAAACTCCCCGCCGATCCCCAGGTTGAGCCGCCAGGGATCCGGAGTCTCTTTACGCGTGCTCAGCTCCCACACCTGGTGAATCCACGACCGCAGTATAACAAAATGTGGTGGCATCTTCATCCAAATCCTACCTGCATCACCTTGAGACGAGCTTGAGCCCTGGTTGCCTCCACCCCGTCAGCCCATCCGCCGCTGCTCTCTGCGTCTCGTTCGTTGACGAGGTAGCCATGCCCGGACGACACCAGGCGGCGGTGAGACGGTGGCGGCGACGAGCTCCTGCTTCGTGTTGCTTGGCGGCGGCGCCTCCTGAGGAGAGGGGGGCCGTCGTAGGTGATGGAGGCCCTCCTGAGATCCACGGTAAGCACCGTGTAGGACGACGTCCACAGCCGCCTCGCAAAGCCTGCCATGGTGTCCACCAGCCGCATCCCCAGCGTCTCGTCGCCGCCATAGTCACCACCGGCATAGTAGGCAGGAGGAGGTGATGGTTCCTCCATTTCCATTTGTTTAGGGCAATGTTGTGGGCGATCTTGTCACTGCTGCTGCTGGTGGCGGCGGAGCACGACGAGGGGCGGCTGTGCCGGCGGGGAGCAGTGGTGGAGCTGGACGGATCCAACTTCGATGCAGCCATCTCCGAGTGCCGCAACATCCTCGTCGATTTCTACGCACCCTGGTGCTCGCATTGCAATGCACTCTCTCCCCAGGTAGCCCTGCCTTGCTCCTTTTGCCTCTCACACAATGCTACCATCAGCTGGACGAGGCGGCCTCGCAGCTGGCGAGTGAGCCCGAGGAGCTCACGCTCGCCAAGATCAACGTCGACAAGTTCACGGCCATCGCATCCAGATACAAGATCAAGTAATTGTCCGAGCGAGCTTCCTTCTTCTACTTATTAGGAGTGTGTGGTGGACGCAGTGAGTATCCAACTCTGAAGCTCTTCGTGGATGGAATTCACACGGACTACCGAGGCCCACACAAAGCCGAGCTCATGGTGGCGCACCTGAGAAGGATGCTGGCACCACCTCTCTCGACTCTACAGTCTCCATCAGCTGTCAAGCAGTTTGTGGAGCGGGCGGGCGATAAGCTCCCTGTCTTCGTCGGCTTTGGAGTGGAGGTTTCTACACTGGCTGAGCTAGCACAAGGACATAGACTGAGAGCATGGTTTGCTACAGTTGATCAAGAAGGCTCGGCATCAGAGTTGGATTTGCTTTCAAGCGACTACGGGCTGACGGTGCTTCCAGCTTTGCTTGTTCAGCACTCCTCCATGAACGAACAAGCTGTGTTCCACGGGCCTTTCCAAGGTACAAGCCTTCTGTTTCTGCGACCTTTGACCCTCCATGGACGCTCTTTTCTAGCAGGGGAGGGCTTGGCCTCGTTCGTGAGGCATAACCTCTTGCCTCCGGTGACAACCTTGACGTATGACAACTTGGAGCTTGTTAAGGCGGATGGGAGGCCAGTTGTCTTGGCCATTGTTACAGGTGCTGGAGTTTTCAACCACATGAAAGAACTGGCTCGGGAGCACCCCGAGATGCTTTTTGCACTGCTCAACTCTTCCTCTCCTCTCGCTGACATCTTTTACGCATCAAAAGTGCTTGTTTGGGACGGCAAGACGTATTTCTACACGGTATGTTATTTGCGTACGCTGTTTCAAAAACTTAGCCAATGTCCTTTAAGCAGCGCTTGCATGCGGAGGTATCGGAGAATGAAGTGGAAATGGGTGGGCAGATATCGGCTTTGGTGGAGGATTTCAAAAACAACAAAGTCAAGAGAAGTATCATTAAACAGCCTTCATTCATGGAACAACTGATGGGCTTCATTGGACAGAACGTCTTGTACATTGTCTTGTTCTTTGTAACCATTGTGGTGTTTCTACAGAGCATGGACTGGGCTCAACCTGGAGCTGCCCGTCATTGATAGCTATGCAGTGAGTTTTGATTGGGACTACTCTACTCTATATATGAAGTGTTGAAATGGGAAGCCAGGACCTTTCCGTGCATTTGATTTTTTCCGAACTTCGTGTTGACTTGAGCGAAGTAGAACAGAAAGTGCTGAACTTTGTCCGGCTGGCAAGGCGTGTTCTTGAGGTGAACTACTTTCCTCATTATATCCATCGACTTGGGGGCGCTCAGAGATACAACAATGCTGTCTCTGCAGGAGGTTCAAAAAAGAAACTGGCTCGAGGCTCAGAATGTTCAATTCAGCCTCGATCTGGTTTCCGAGGCTGAGTATCACTTAGGATTCGTAGCCAAGGTACACTCCAATCCTTGGCTATTCAGTACACACATTCTGAGGCGAGCGATCGAAAGGTAGACTTCCTTCATCTCTTGTCTAGCTACCTTTCTGTCTGTACAGGTACGAGTATTGTTGGCTTCCATTGGCAAATTCTTCGTCAGAGCTGATCCCGCCTCTCGATTGTGCGTTAATCTGGCATTGCCATCGACTGAAACCTGTAAGCATCATCCCTGTCCCCAGCTTGTTGTTTTTAAAAGTTTCTAGTGAACAGGTTCAGTATGCCAGCGACTGCAGAAAGCTGTTTGGAAAAGTTATCGATGCACGTCTTAAACGTAACAACTCTATGGAGCACTATCGTAAAAGCAGGGATGCTTGGACATCATTATATCCGGATGAACCTTATAATCTTCGTGAACTCAAGTCCACATGCAGCTCACGCTACTCATCCGGGAAATCAATGATTTTGTACAACCTTGTGGATGCAGTTAAAAGACAGAAATCATTTATTTACCAGGTTTTGATGTTTTATCACTTTTTCTATCCAGGCAAACACCTTTCTTCGTTTCAGGTCTCCGCACCTCATTATCAGGACAGAGGATTCTTGCGCGACGCAGAGAAGCGTTATAAAGGGTTTCTGCATCTGAAAAGAACTCAGGGAGAGGATAAGTTTTTCGTTCCTACTTATGACATCGACTTGATGTGGCACACGCATCAACTTTGTTCCGTCAAGTATGAGTGCGACATGGTGGGAGTGCTGGGAAGAGATTTGGAACACGACGATTCTGTCAACAACAGAGAAGTTGGAGGAAAGCTCGACGTGGGATATACACAAACTCGTTCTCTGTGGGAAGAGACGTATGGACTTGCGTATGAGAAAGCAGGTTGCATGTACAGAGGTGAACCACCGTTACCCCTAACGCTCATAAGTACCACCTCCGTCCGTGTCTTAGGATCAAGTCTTGCCGAGTGCTCGAAGTCCTGGGCTCATCTTCGAGCAACGCTGGCCAAGAGAAAGATTTTTCAGGTGACATTTCTCTTCTCTTTTTCTTCCTCTGGTAAAATGTATATTGACTGCAGGTGCACATGTCTGTCCGGGAAGTTGAGAGTTACGCAGAACCCAGAGAGTTCAACCATTTGCTTGCCATTTCACCACTAAATTCTCTATTAGCATCATCGTTCAAATTTCACGATTTTAACTCTTCAAAGAAAATCTGGGACTTTGAAACTGATTTATCAACCCAAGGTGTTATCCTGGAGCTCAAGCCTTACAGCGGCTCCTATACGGTGCTGGGACATCTGAGAATAACTTGGCAACAGGTTATGATGTCGGAGATGCACTCGATCAGTGGCTGGTTTCCTCTACAAAACACAAGGAAGCCAACATCTCTGCAACTCGTGGCTTCTATGACTCCCCCTGTGACTGGCCAATTTCTCCTGAGAAGTGTGAAAACCAGAGATACCAAAGATGACAGAGGAGACATATGGTTGACAAACTGTATCCTTGATCATACAAACTGTGAGTCGTATGTTGTCCGCTACAAGTAAGGATTTTTTAAATGAAGTTGCGTCCCTGATCCTGACCAGTTTGCTGCTGGTGTCCCAGGCACGGTCAAGCGTCGTCCCTGATAAAGAGAAAACCACCCAGAGCACAGAGGTTTGTTCACGTTCATCATGGTGTCCGGAAGTTTGTGCACGTCCATCATCGAAACAGTCTGTATGTTCCAGACGTTTCTGGTAAGAAGCAACTTACAGCTGCAAGCTTTCATGTTGTATGCTGTCAATCGTAAGGTGAGGTCATCGGATCAGCGTTTCCGCTTGAGAAAACAGCAAACTCCAGGAGCTGGTCTCTGCTAGATGGCGCAGTAACTCTGACCATCTCCAGATATCGAAAGGAATCGAAGTGGTGGCCGCAGTTTGATGTGAGGACAAGATTAGATTGTCCGGTAAGTGAGTGTACCAAACAGAGTCTGATTCGAGTGGAAGAGTGTCTTGTCGCGAACAGGACTTTGTTCTAGTACCAGGTCGTAAGCCTCAACTTGGTTTTTTGTATGATCCGGGCTTTGTGACGATGGTGAGATATACACGAGACGAGCCCGAAGGCATTGCAACCGCTCTTTTCGACTTGGACGTGGGTCACATGCAGGCGAGTGCTTATTATGCAACCTGACTTATCGATCTCAGTATTTGGGTTGTTGCATGGTGCAGATTGATCGTTACGAGAATGTGCTCCTGGTGTTGCTTCTGTCGACGACTGTATCCATCTCACTCAAAGAGCTAGGACTCAAGTTGAAGCACAAGGCCACATATTATGACAATGGTACACATGATCGATCTAAGGCAGAGCAACTAATGCATTATTCTTTTTGCCAGGCTTCCAGCGTACTCGGGCTTCAAACGTGCACTACACAGGCTTAGGAGTGTGGGATACTTCTAGCAGCTATGCTGACGGGGATGGTGGGGGTGGTGGTGATGGTGGCGATGGAGGGGGTTGCGGTGGCTGCGGTGGCTGTGGCGGCTGTGGTGGCTAGTTCTAAATTCTACAAATAAGCTTGAGGTTCGAGCCACGAAAATAAAAATAAAAATATCGTGTAAGATAGGTTGTGCTGGGAGGCCATGCCGCTAGTGTTTAGAATTTACGGGAATGAGAGCTCCTGCATTCCCATTTTCAATCCCGTTCGGACCATGCCAAACAGGAGCAGCATCACGTGGCGGCGGCGATGGAGGTCAGTTGATGAAACTCGTACGAGGGTGTGGTGCATGGCAAAGAAATCCAAGCGAAGTAGCAGCAGCGGCACAAAGGGCAATGACGCCAAATCGTCACCACAGTCGCCATCCTCGTCTGCGTATGCCAAAGAGACGCGACGAGTGGTTTTCAGCCTCCAGAACGTGGGCAAGGTACGCTTGCGTTCTCTTATTTGTTCTTCCCAAATGGTATGTTGAATCCGTCCAGGTGACGCCAATGGGAAAACAAATACTGAAAAACATCAACCTGGGAATGTACATGGGTGCTAAGATTGGTATCCTGGGCTCCAATGGCTCAGGCAAGAGCTCGCTACTCAATCTCTTAGCGGGAGTCGATAAAAATTACGACGGTGATGTCTCTGTCGATCGCAACCTCAAACTCGGCTACTTGCCTCAGGTGAGCGCACACTCATTTCCTGTTTTCCCAGTTGTCTCCTCTTGCATGTGATGAGCGCAGGAACCATTGCTAGACGATGGAGCAACAGTGATGGAAAACATAGAGGTTCGCTGTCTTTTTTCTGTGACTTTGCGTGAACTTTGTCTTGATGTTTTTTATTTTCTAGCCTGCTCTCTCCGAAACTAGGAAACTGCTTTCGGACTTCGAGCAGGTAAAATCCGTGGTGTCTTCGAAGCTTTCTTGTTTTTACCATCATACTGAATGCCAGGTGAGTGCAGATATGGCAACCGGCACTGGTGGTATGGAAAAGCTCATGTCAAGGATGGAAAAACTGCAAGATGCACTGGATGCATGCAACGGATGGGAACTCGATCGTCGGCTGGAGGTACTGGTCTGGTTTTGCAGCTCTTTTGGTGACAAATGTGGTTTGGTTTCTCGCAGCGGGCACTTAGTGCTCTCAAGTGTCCGCCTCCAGATGCTTTTGTCGCCAACTTGAGCGGTGGAGAGCTACGTCGTGTGGCTTTATGTCGTCTCCTTCTCCAGGTAGAAGTATGGTGTTTGATATCATATCACAAACTCAAAAAAGGCTATGTTTTTCTCTAGAGTCCGGATATTTTACTTCTGGACGAACCAACAAACCATCTCGACGCAGAGGCAGTTGCTTGGCTTGAACAATATCTTGCAGACTTTAAAGGGACGGTTGTTGCAGTCACACATGATCGATACTTCCTGGATAATGTCTCTTTTCTTCTCTCGTCTTCCAAAGAACAGATTTTAATCTACTGTATTGGCACAGGTTGCTGGCTGGATACTAGAGCTGGACAGGGGACAAGGCATTCCCTTCGAAGGTAATTACTCGGCATGGCTAGAAGCAAAGGTAAATACGATCTAATCTTTCATCTGAGCCTGTTGTGACTGCTATTGTATTGTTAAGGAAAAACGTATGTCGGTGGAAGAGAAAGAGCAAACGGCACTCAAGCGTACTATAGCTCGGGAACTTGAGTGGATCAGACAGAAGGCCAAAGGACAACAGAAGAAGGGACGGGTGAGTGAGTTCAGCAGCACTTTGCTTTATTTGAAATCTCCTGACGGGCATTTCTTTCCCTGGCAACAGGCACGCGAGCGCTCCTATGAGGAACTCCTGCAGAAGGCGAAAGAACATGAAAAAGCCGAAAAGCTGCAGTCAATATATTTACCTCCGGGGCCTCGCCTGGGAAATCTGGTGGTGGAGGCAGAGAATCTACGTAAAGATCTTGGAGGCCGCACCTTGATTGAAAATCTCACTTTCTCGCTCCCCCCTGCTGGTGAGAACTTCTCCTTCTCAGAGTTTGCCGACGAACAAGGTTTGTGTTCCATTCAGGTGTGGTTGGGGTTATAGGGGCAAATGGAACTGGCAAATCCACCTTGTTCCGTATGTTGATTGGTCAGGTAACTTTATAACATAACCGTCCGTCATGTATATTTACTGCATCCTGTGCTTGGTAGGAGTCCCCGGACAGTGGCCGCCTGAGGATTGGGGAGACGGTTGTCCCTCTGTACGTAGACCAGTCGCGAGAAAGCCTGACTCCGGGAAGGACGGTGTTTCAAGAGATCAGTGATGGAGATGACGAGGTTACTCTCGGTAAGAGGACGCACACGTCTTTTCCTCCACTGCGCGTTCCTTGTTTTTGCACCAGGGGAGAGGAAAGTGAGTGCTCGAGCCTACTTATCGTGGTTCAACTTCAAAGGCGCGGACCAGCAGAAACTTGTTGGAAGTTTGTCAGGCGGGGAAAGGAACAGGTGCACTTGCGTTTATCGTGTTCATCACTGCTTCATCTTTTTACGCAGACTCCATCTGGCCAAGGTGCTCAAATGTGGTGGCAACTTCCTCTTGCTGGACGAGCCTACCAACGACCTGGACGTGGACACTCTCCGAACTCTCGAGGAGGCCATCCACAACTTCGCTGGTGAGCTTGCTTGGTACACACATTGCCTCTGGGTGTCTGAAACCAACGCTGGCAGGTTCCGTCATCGTTATATCCCACGACCGCTGGTTTCTGGACCGCATTGCAACGCACATCCTAGCATTTGAAGGAGGCTCCACAGTAAGATTTGCCTCTTGGCACCATGGTCGGTTTGCATAACAGCCGGTACGAAACAGGTTACGTATTTTCAAGGCTCCTACACGGAATACGAGGCGGATAACAAGAAGCGCGAGGTTGGAAACACGAAGATCAAGTACCATGCAGTTGTATAGTAACCGAGCATGGAAAGTGTACCTTAACCAGGCAAGGGAATGACAACGCAAGGGGAGTTCGCAAGCTCTGTTTGTGTGGGGATTTTAGGAGGACTAGTGATTGCCAGCCTTCACGCACTGCTAGAGCATGCATGGTTCTATCTTCTCAAGACGCTGGAATCAAAGGCGCTAGTGGAGAGGCTTACAGCATCAATTCCAGTGAGCACCGAGAGCGCCGGCTACAGAATGGAGAGCTTCTGGGCTGTTGCTCTGCCGCCCATGCCCGTGGTTGCGATGGTGTTCTTGGCCAGGTGACGGTCATAGTGCCTTCACGGTCTGTAACTTGGTTCAGTGTTTCAGGAAAGGTTTCTTGGAGCGATGCCATTTCTCGTGGGACATTTGTGGCAGCTTCCTCTTCACCTGGACTGTCATGGTTCTTCACGACGCACACTCTTGGCTGGTGCACACGCTCCTCCACCGCTCCAAGAGCGCATACCGGAGGATCCACAGGCGGCACCACGACAACAGTGGCGAACTCACCGTCTTTGGCACCGCCTACGGCGACGCCCTGGAGATCGCATGCTGCATCACCACTTTCTACTCCCTCGTCACCCTCTGGCTTTACCGCTTGCCGCAGTGGGATCCGCTCGCAATCTTGTTCCTCATGTGGTCCATGAACAATGTAGACCTGATGGGACACTGTGGCTACCGCTTGCCTGCCTGGCTCTACGTCCCCGCGTCCCTGGGTGTGCTACTCACACCTCTGGCTCAGCGGCCACGGCACCACTACATCCGCCACCTCGACCCCCGCTTCAATCGCTCCATCTGGGACAGAATGTCCGCCACCTTTCGTGACCAGCACCCCAAGCTCACTTGCTACTAGTATGCGACCTGGCTCACGAGAGTTATGCGCTCTATAGGCGTCCTGCAGAAGGGGCATGCTGGCGGCGGAGAGAATGGCATGGCGGGGTTGGGCTTGTTGTGGCAGCAGAGCGTGAGGATGCAACTCGCGCACATTTGGTGGCCACACTTGTGAAGCTCGATGTTGCACCGGTGCTCGAAACAGATGCAGCAGCAGCTGTCTGTGCTGGCCTTCTTGTCCTAAGATAATTGAAACGGATGAGTCTTCTTATAGCTATGGACGGCCACTAGAGTTACTCACTTGCTCCAATTGTTGGTCGTCATCAGTCATGATGGCATTGACGATCTCACTCTCAGCAGCACTCTTTCTGGGAGCCCGCCCCCTCGCCTGGTTGGCCTGCTCCAGCACCTTCTCGAGTAAGCTCCGGGTGTTTGTATCCAAAGCATTCATGAACTTGCACGGCGATGGCCACACCAAAGGCTCTGCAACGCTCGGATCCAAGAGCGCTGTGCAGGACGCGTTGTTGTGCTTTCTGGCAATCCCGTAAGCAGTGTAGCTGCAAACGAGAAACATGTCACAAGGCAGTGACGCGGAAACCCACAACATACCCGGTAACATCTCTCTGGCTGCGATCGGCTCCCCAGGCGAGTAGCTCTTGCACAGTCTCTAGAGAGCCCCCACGAGCAGCAAAATGCAGCGGGGTGCTTCCGTGGCCGGACCTGAGCAATTCAAGTTAAGTTGGCCAGTTCGTGAGTTGCGATGACAATTCAAAGGATAGTTCACCCATTGCCAGTGTTGCTGGTGGTGGCAGAAACCAGAGCTCCACTGTCGAGCAGCAGCTGAAGCGCCCTCACATAGCCTCCCCTGGCGGCTAGGTGTAGTGCCGTGATACCTTTGGAGTCCCTCGTGTTGACAAACCTGACGAATTTCCTGCATCCATGTCAATCAAGATTCTATTCTCTAGCTGCGGACAAGACAGACCACGACTCGGCAACTGGAGCACATTTCGCTGCCAACAGAATCCTGTGGATGCATTCGACGTGACCGGCTTTAGCAGCGTAGTGGAGGCAGGTTCTGGAATGAGATGTGTCAAACAAGAGCACCTGAAGATGAAGCAAGTCAGGGAGACGGGCACTGAAGGAAAGAAACGAGGAAGACGCTTGTGACATACATTCGCGCCATGCTGTAGGAGATAATCGACGCAGTCGTGCTTTCCCGACTTGGAGGCGAGCATGAGCGGAGTCTGCAAGCAGGCAAGGCAAAGCATATTGGTTTTTCTGGTAAGAGAGAGCGTCAGAGACACAAAGTACCTGTCCTCCATTGCAGCTGCTACAGTTGACGCTGGCTCCCTTGTGGATGAGCAGTGCAGCTACGTCGACTTGGCCCGCCATGGCCGCGACGTGCAGCGGAGTGAGGCGGCTGTGAAAGAAGAGCGCCTTGGTCACAAGCTTTGGCGACATGCTAGCGCTCTGTTCCACGGCCACGCAGTCGCCTTCCACGATGGCCGTGTACAGACGCCACCTCTGCCCATTGTCCTTGAGCATTGCGCATAGCTGCCAACTTGAGAGTCCACAGCCGTGGCTCTGGCCCATACTTGGTGACACACACACACACACACACACACACACACACACACACACACAAAACACACACACTCACTCACTCAAGCGCCGCTGGTGAGGCCATGGTTTCCCCTTCACATGAACACATGAACACATGAACAATCTAGTTTTAACTAAACCAACTGTCTGGAACGAGTGACAGTTACGATAACCCTCCGGCATTCATTCCTTGTAGCCGCACACACTGCCTGCCAATCTGTATGGAGGACGACGCTACCTATAAAAGATGCTGGATAGAGGTGCATCCAGTACAAGGCGTGGAGGATGAGTTCCAGGTCCATGTAACTTCTCGTGCTCTAACGTTCTATCCTCCTTGCATCTCCTCCATTCTAACTAGATATACAGCACTCCTATACCACGACAAGCTTCAAACCAAGCAGCCACGCACGCACCTGCATTTAGATGATTTTTAGTCGTCACTACGAGCAGCTGAAAAGAAAAGCCCTGCACAAAAGCAAAGAGGTTATAAGCCTGGAAACAATCGCATTTGCTTACCCGCGTGATGGAGCTACTCCGCGCGCTGCTGCTCATCCCCGCCAACGCTGCCTTGCTCCGCTGCTGCCGATGTTGAAGCCGATGCCGGAGACGCCTCCGCGATCTCGTGGAGAGGCAGCGCCGGCGTGTGGCCCTGGAACAAACTGATATGCCCCAGCAGCTTGTCCTTCCGGGAGAAGGTGGTGCCACACGAGCACTGCCACTTATCCCGGCCGCAGTGCTTCTCGTGCGTCTTGAGGTCCGCCACCACCGAGAACTTTTTGCTCTTGCACTTGCTGCAGGTGAGAGACTTTGGACAGTGGCTCCGCCGGTAGTGATTCTTGACGCACAGCACCGTCTTGAGCGGCTGGAACTTGCGGTGCTTCTTGTTCCTCTTGCATCCGGCGTACGGGCACGAGTAGCGCCTGGGCCGGAGCAGCGATGGATCCGTGGCAACCTTATCCGGCCTCGCCAGAGCAGCGGGCGACTTGTACTGCTCGCCGTGCCCGCGCATGTGCATTCTCAGGTTGGCGTCCCGCTTGAAACCTTTGCCACACTTGTCACAAAAGTGCGTGTGCTCCGCGAGGATCTCCACTGCGTTCATTTCCACGAGATCGTAGGAGCCAGGCACAAGGTCCTCCGCGTCGCCGTCGTCGTCGTCGTCCCTGGACCCCGCCCCTGAGTCGCCGCAATCTTCCATCGCCGCCGGCGGGGGTGGTGGAGGTGGAGGTGGTGCTGCCGCTGCTGGGGGCGCCGCTGCCTCACTTTCTCTCTCCGCCACCACCACGGCCTTGCTCGCAAGTGGTGGATGATGGATGGCTTCCAGGTTGAAAGCGTGGGGCTGACAGGGCGAATCTTGCTGCTGCGGCGCCTGGGGCTGCTGCGGTTGCGGCTGCTGCTGGCGATGCTCCACCACCGGAAGTGGATTCCGGACGGCCGCGGCGGGAGTGGGAGCGGCCAGGGTGTTGAAGCCGAGTGGAGCACCCAATTGCATGTCGGGCAGCAGGCACGGCGAGGGCTGCGCGTTGGGAAGGACCCCAATGACGGCGAGAGCAAGCTGCGATATGTTGGAAGCGATCCGCGCGGCAGTCATGGCTGCATGGGCCTGGACGACACCGCCGTTGTGCTGGCTGGCCTGCGATAGCGAGTGAACCAGCGCCTGGAGCTGATCGGTCTTTTGCTCCAGTAGGGAGACAAGGGTGTAGTGCTGCTGCTGCTGGGGGTGGATGCCGCCACCACCACGGCCTTCTATTGGCGGGCTCCCGGGGGGACTGAGCTTGATCAGGTCTTCCATGAGGCCCTGGAGGACCTGCTGAGGGGCGGCGAGCTGGAGATTGTAGCCCTGCTGGCCGGCGGTGAGGAGGAAGCCCTGGTGGAGGAGATTCTGGAAGGCGTTTTGGGGAGCGGGCATCTGGTGGTGGAAATGCGGTTGATGCTGCGGCAGCGGCGGGGGCGGAGGCTGCTGGTGGTGGTGGTGGTGGTGATGGTGAGCCGGCGGCGGAGGGGCCTGGGGTTCTAGAGCTCCCAGAATGGAGAATCCATGGCAGGTTGCCGCGGCCGCGGGGGATGCGTAGTGGCCAACAAGGGAGAGCTTTGGTGTCATACCTCCTCCTCCTCCTCTCGGGCTCTGCTGCTGCTGATGGACATCGCTCGGCGACGGCTGGTGGCTGGATTGCATCATCCCTTGCGCGCGATCGCCTCTCCCAAATCCCTTGCAACCCTAATGGAATGGCATTCCCCCTCTCGCCAAGCTACAGTAGCGGGGGAAAGTGTATCTATCAGGTGAAGTGAAAAGAAATTAAAAGCAGATGGGGCCTGGCCGAGCAACACCAGCGCACGGGGCAGGCCGTACGGGGGAGGGGTGGTACTGGTACCAGTTGGGCAGGCAGGCAACACTTGTATCTCACTACTGGTGTGTATGGCGCCATTGCATTTACCCCATTTACCACCAGCACCACCAGTGTCCAGGGTCTAGCTAGGTACTCCCCCATTTCGTACTACCTCTGGGCATATTCCGCACCTTTCGGGAATAATTATGCTAAAAGTCCAAGCTGAGCACCTTTTAGCATTGACCGCCGTTAGGGCATCCGCGGACGGCGGCATGACGGAGCTTGACGGCGCCGGCAGGGATCTGGGCCGTTGCAGTGCCGATCGGACGGGCGCTGCCCGCATGCTCTCTCTGCTCTTGTTGTTATTGTGTTTGTCGCTCGCCCACGGAAGAGGCGGAGAGGCGAGAGGAGGAAGAAAAGAGAGGCGCGACATGGCCGCCGTGTGGAGAATTGGTTCCACATTTCTTGGGTGGTTCTTCCTTAGATAGATAGGCACTACTAGAGCTAGGCCGTGGCCGCGCGAGCTAGCTAGCAAGGCAAAGGGGGAAACTGGACAGAGATATGGCGACGGAGAGCCCTGTCAGGGTGCTGGCAGGGGGGCTGGGCGGGGACGGCGGCGGCATTAGGGCTCCATCCTCGAGTAGCAGCCGCGAGTGCGAGGAGCTCAATCTGCTGCTCCGGGAGCGATCGTCGGCGTCGCGGCTGGGGAATGCGCGGGGCGAGGTCCAGCTCCACCGCAGCGAGAGCGCCCCGCCCACCGTGGAGGGATCGCTGGGCGGCCTGCTGAGCCAATTGGGCCGGCTGGAGCTCCACGCTCACGCCCAGGATGGCGATCAGCTGCTGGATGTGGTGGAGGCGGAGCAGGAGCTCAGGTCAGACCCTGCTTATCTTGCTTACTATCACTCGCATGTCAATCTGAATCCCCGTCTCCCACCGCCAGTAAAGTCGTGGGAGAATTGGCGCCTCGCCCAGCGCCTCAACCTTCGAAGCAAGCTTGTGTTTGACGACTCGAGCAGCTCCTCGCTCTTCTCCGCCAATCCGCACCCGCTGCATTCTTCGCTCCCCACGCACAGGGAAGACGACGATCTGCTGGACGAGGGAGAGGTCTCCTCGTCCTCCTTGGGACAGCAACACCACCATGTCATCCGCCACCTCCCCGCCACCACCACCACCGCCGCCGCCACCTTCACCGATGCCGATGGACTCCCGGGCTTTGACATGGGACTTGGACGGCCCAAGAGCCTCGTCGATCTCATCCAGGTATTTGGGGGCCATCTTCTAGTTTGCAAAGCTGACGGACTTGCTGATCACGCAGGAGGACTTCCCGAGGACGCCCTCTCCTGTTTACAACTTGTCCCGGCCCTCGAGCCGGGCAGCAAACGATGACGCGGGGGATGCCTCCCTGGACCTGCAACTCTTGCGTGAGCTTGGCTCTGGCATCGGCTCCCGCTCCGCCACCCCAATGCAGGTGCCCGTTCACGACGTTTATGCTTCTCCCTCCACCACCACCCTCAACCGGACACCTCCACCGGATGCAAGCGTGACAGTGGGAGAGGCAGCCGAGTCTAGTACCTCGTCGGAGCTTGCAGCTGCTCTTGCGGGATGCGTAACCATGAAATCCGACAACGCGGACGTTGTCGAGGAGGAGCAGCATCTGGAATTTCCCGAGCAGCAATTACGTGTGAAACAGCAGCACCAGCAGCCGCAAGCGCAGCATCATGGATCGCAGGCATATTCGCAGCAACAGCACCACCAAGCATACGGCAACGTCAAGTTTGGTGCCATTCCTCCTGGTGCCAATCAGCAGCAACAGCCAGGAGGAGGAGCTGCTGCAACGTCCAACATGTATGCGGCGGCCGCCGCTGCCGCCGCCATGTCCTACATCGCCGCGGGGAATCCATACTATCACAACCTTCACTCGGCATCAGTCTATGCACCATACTACGGCCTCGGTGGCTACCCGCTCAATGGTGCTATGTTGCCACCTCCATTGCTACCGGGATATCCCGCCCCTCCGGTGGCGTTTGAGTCCGCAGTGGCCGCCGCCCGAGGAGGTGTCCCCGACTTACACCAGTTTTACAAGCTTGCAGCGGCGGGACAGGCTCCCTCATCGACCACTGCGCTTCACGACGCTCTCTATCTACAATACCTCCGTGCGTCCGAGGACGCTCGCGCCGCAGCGGCACTGTCAGCGGACATGCGGAGCTATGCTGCTCACTCGGACGCACTCGTGGACCAGCTGAGCGGGCTGGGTGGTTTATCCAAGCCTCAGTTCTCGAGGACCATGTCCATCCCGAACAAGAGTGTTCCGCCGGCCACTTCTTTTTACGGCAGTCCTCCTGGGCTGGGATTCGGCGTGCCATTTCCCAACTCTCCATTGGCAAGTCCTGGACTTCCCAGCTCGCCGGTTGGCGCAACTTCTCGGATCGTCAACGATCGAAACTTGCGCTTGTCTCCGAGCACCGGAAGAGCTGCTGCCGCTTATACTGCTGCGGGGTGGCCATCGGCGGGAGGCAGCGATCCTGCTGACGAGTCACGTGGGTCTTTCCTGCTCGAGGAGTTCAAAAACAGCAAAAACAGAAGATTTGAGCTCTCTGACATTGCTGGTCACGTGGTGGAGTTCAGGTACAAGCTGGTCTTTAGCTTCTTTACATTTGGAAAATGTGTGTCCATTGCAGTGCTGACCAGCATGGAAGCCGCTTTATCCAGCAGAAGCTAGAGACTGCCACCGCCGAGGACAAAGCTATGGTTTTTCAGGAGGTCTTCCCCCAAGCCGTGGCGCTAATGACGGATGTCTTTGGAAACTACGTTATTCAGAAGGTATTTGAAGACTTGGCACGCATTTTGTTTGTACGTCGTGTCGTAACTTCGTAGAGCCTGGCAGTTTTTTGAGCATGGAACGGCACAGCAAAGAAAGGAGCTTGCCCAGCAGTTACCCAGCCGTGTACTGACGTTGAGCTTGCAAATGTACGGCTGCCGTGTCATTCAGAAGGTATCTTTCATTTTTTTTTGTCTAAGACGCTGAAGAAACTCGCAGGCACTCGAAGTTGTGGACGTGGATCAGCAAACACAACTGGTTTCCGAGCTGGATGGTCACGTGATGCGGTGCGTCCGTGATCAAAATGGAAACCACGTCATTCAAAAGTGTATAGAATGTGTTCCTCCCGATCGCATCCAATTTATAATCTGTGCGTTTTATGGTCAAGTATTGGCTCTCTCAACACATCCGTATGGATGCCGGGTTATACAGGTGAGGCATGTTTTGAGTCGTTTCAAGTTACTTGAGACGGTTGTTTTGTTTTTTTTTTTGGTTTTTGTTTTACGTTTTCTTCCCAGAGAGTTCTTGAGCATTGTACAGACGAACAGAAACAGCAAGGAATAATGCAAGAGATACTGCGATCAACTTGCAGTCTTGCTCAGGACCAGTATGGGAACTATGTTGTGCAGGTTGGTTCTGTTTCTTTTCTTTTCTTCCTTTTTAATTTCCTTTCTTTCTCTGGGGTGCTGTAAGCTAAGTCTTTCTTTGTGTCTCTTTAGCATGTGTTGGAGCATGGAACCCAGCCGGAGAGAAGCGAAATCATCACTAAGCTAGCAGGACAAATTGTACAAATGAGCCAGCATAAATTTGCATCAAATGTCATCGAGAAGTGTCTTCAGTTTGGGGGCCCGGCAGAAAGACAAATTCTGATCAACGAGATGCTGGGATCAACGGACGAGAACGAGGCCTTGCAGGTAGGAAAGAAAGATTTGTGACTCCATTCATATACATCCTTTTTTCAGGCTATGATGAAGGACCAATTTGCCAACTACGTGGTGCAGAAAGTACTGGAGATTTGTGACGACCGCCAGAGGGAAATTCTTTTGACTCGTATCAAAGTTCATTTACACGCGCTTAAGAAGTATACGTATGGGAAGCACATTGTGGCGAGAGTAGAGAAGCTCGTGGCCGCGGGAGGTACGTCCGTCTAGCATTTCTCGTTGTTGGTCGATCAATTCCTGATTCATATCACTGCAGAGAGGCGGAGTGCCGCAGCCGCTCATATGTCGCCCCCTATGTAAACGGCTGCAGCCACAACTAAGCACAAGTAAGTATAAGGTGTAAATTTGCAAAGAAGAGACTGGTAAATATTTAGTATTTCCAAGTGTACAAAGCTTTTTAAAATCCAAGCAGGGTTGGATTTTGTTTGACAAGCATAAAATCATCTATTATATGATTCCTGCAATCTGTATCTCGATGTCGTCCTTTTTACATGATGAAGAGATCAACTTGGGAGAACGTAACTGGATTCTATCTCGCACCCGAGAGCTCAATCGCTTCCAAGTTGGAGGAATCTCCCTGAATCATCATCCACTCGTCCAGCTGCTTGTGGCCAACATCCACCTCTTCTCTTCTCAGCACCTGAACCTTTTGCCACTCTTCCCACCTCTCGGCGAGGCCGTCCCCTTCCAGCATCGACACGACCTCCACCATCTTTGGACGGTCGCTGGGAGACGCTTGGGTGCAGAGCAGAGCAATCTGGGTGAGTTTCTCAACTTCGTTTGGCTGGTACGAGTGCCTCAGCTTGGGATCCACGAGCTCACTCAGTCTACCTTCCTGCTGGAATCTCTTCACCTGCAAGCACCAAAGCGAAAGTTTGGTCCGAGGCCAAGCACCATAAATCTTACCCAGTCGAGAAGCATCACGTCGTCATCGTCAAACAGCCTGGCTAGATCGAAAGCCCGCTTCCCCGTTATAAGCTCCAGCATCAAAACTCCATATCCAAACACGTCCGTCTTCTCCGACGACTTGCCTGTGGACAGATACTCCGGAGCAATGTGGCCGGGAGTCCCTCGGACGTTGGTGGTGATGTGTGTGTTCTTGGTGTCAATGAGCTTTGCAAGACCGAAATCGCCCACCACCGCCTGGAAATCTTTGTCCAGTAGAACGTTCGCAGCTTTCACGTCACGGTGAATGATCCGGGGGCTACAGTGTACGTGAAGGTAACGGAGACCGTGAGCAGCACCCAGAGCGATTTGCTTCCTCGTTTCCCAATCCAACGTTTTGCTCCCCGTGGTGTCATCTGTGGACGCAAAGGTTAGCTTCTTCACAGATGGTTGATTTTCAGCTTACGCAAGCGGGAAGCAACGCTCCCGTTGGGCATAAACGGGTAGACTAAGATCCGCTCCGAAGGAGTGATGCAAAATCCGTCAAGGCGAAGCAGGTTGCGGTGGACTGCCAAGCCGATGATCTCAACTTCAGTCTGAAATGCCTGTTCTCCTCCAGCTGAAATATTCTGGTCTGTTCTTAGGCGCTTAACGGCAACGAGTTTGCCGTTTTCCAAACTGCCTTTGTACACTTTCCCAAATCCTCCCTGTCCCAGGACGTTCTTGTCGCTGAAATTGTCTGTTGCAATTTGGAGTTCCCTGAGAGTAAACTTCCTAAGTTGTCCAAAGGTGGCATGAGGATCATTTTCCGCTGCACAAAAGATAGCCGCGCATCAGATAGCTTACAAAAAAGCAAACAGACGCACCAGCAACGTCAAAAAACACCTCTTTTGGCCCACGGTGCTTTCTCCACACAATGACAGCCAGTAAGGGACAGAGCAGTAAAAACAGAGCCCCCGCAGCAATGCCACCAATGATAGCTCCAATGTTAAGCCCTGCAGCGCGTCCAGGGATTGAAATAGGCAGAAGTTATCCCAAGAACAGACTTGCTTACCACGTCTTCTAGAGCTCGGAAGAATCGACTCCGGGCAAGGCGTTCCTACCTTAGTACCACAGAGATCTGGATTCCCTAGCAAGCTGTTGAAAGACATTAGCCGTCATGGAATGACTTCAGAAACGGCATACATCAAACAGGCAAGCATTGTTTGCTCACTTGAACTCACTGATCGTCCCTTTGGGTGGGAGTGGTCCACTCAAGTTGTTATACGAGACGTCTCTGCATGAATTCGAATGATCAGGATAACGAACACGAGAAAATGACATACAGAAACTGCAAGCTGGATATGAGAGTGAGCGTAGAAGGGATGCTTCCGGTCAGGCTGTTGTTGTTTAGAAGCCTGCAAAGCCAAGTTGCTGTGATTAACAGGAAAAAGAAGAAGAAGAAGAAGAAGAAAGTTCCCAAGGCTTACAAGGTTCTTAAGCTCGTAAGATTGGTGAGCGTTGACGGAATGCTTCCAGTGAAGTTGTTCGCAGACAAGTCAAGATTCAGTAAACCTTGCAGTGTTCCCAGTTGTGGCGGAAGAGAACCCGAGATCAAATTCCCTTTCATCCTTCTGAGGAAAAGAGAGCCATTAAAAACAAAACCATATGATCCAAGAGCCAAGTACAGGTTTTGCAGATTGGGCAAATCCGCAAGTGCTGGCGAGAGAGTCCCCGAGAGGCCTTGCTTCTCCAACATTCTGGACAGGCAAGAAAAAAAGATTATCATCAAAGTCAAAGACACGAGCTAGCACCCACACATAGAAAGAAAAAAAGAGTTAAAAAGAGGCACACACACACACACGACAATGTTCTATTCTACCAAGAAACCAAGGAAAGAGAGAATGTCTCCAGCGAGCGACGAGCAACCAATGCAAATCTCATACACTGTGATGACACGCTGCTGGCTGTCGCAGTCGACATAGAGCCAGCTGCAAGGATTGACGAGGTTTGCATCCCAAGATCTCAACGCATTCTTGGGATCCCACAGCTTGCTCTTGAGCTCCGCGAGCGCATTTCCTGACAAAACGTTTAGCCTGATTGCTCCCCAAGGAAGAGAAATCGCGGGGCCAGGCAAGCGTACCTTCGGCATTGGAGGCCAGAGCTTGGTGGATCCAGAGGAGAGGCAGCGGCAGCAGCAGTGGCAGTAGATGCTCCAATCCAAAGCGCATGGCGCACAGAAGCCCCGCTACGAGCAACAAAATAAAACCATGTTACGTCTAATTTTATCTTTAGGGCACGCGGGTCGTCAAGTGCTAGAGCGCCATGGCGGCGGCGATCTATCGCCTTCTTCCTCTAGTCGGGATCCTGCTCGTTCTTCCAATGCTGATCGAAGCTATCCATCACAAATGCGCCGCTTGCAAAGCCGTCGCGGTAAGATTGTACCAGATCTACGCGTGGTTTTGCGTGATTGATGCTCTCTTTCCCGCAGGTGGAGCTGGAGCTGGCTCTTGCAAACGTTAGTGAGTAAAAGTTTTCCGTATGATCTTGCGATTGCTGACAGAACTGGCTCGATCTCCAGGAAAGGCCGAGGAACGACATCGACTTGCGACACAGACTGGATTCGAAGGGGCAGCGACAGGGACGAGTAATCCAATACAAGTAAGAGTGTTATGAAACGAAGCATTGCTTGCTCTGTCTCGGCCTTGTATGTGATGATATCTGGATGAATTCTCTCAGACTTAGCGAGCTTAGAGTGTTGGAGCTCCTGGAAGGCGTTTGCTCTAGAGTGAAAGACTACACCCTTGACAAGGTGTGCTTAGCTTACACAAGAGCTTGATTCGTCTTTGGGCTGAATTTTCGATGCAATGCAGGCGACTGGCGAGTGGATCAAACTTAGCAACAGTGGCAACAGGAACGAGGATGGTATGCGTTAAGTTCTGCTTGAGAAAGTGATGCTCACTCTGTTCATTCTCTAGAAAAGCGAGAAGCTGAAGTACACTCCAAGGAGATTGCGGTTTATTGTGGCAGGTAAGGTCCATACATATCGTGACTACGTCGCTCTCAGGACTAAAGAAGGTCGTTCGTGTGAAAAAACAGGCTGCTTGAAAAGCATGAAGACGAGGTTTGGAGCTACGCTTTCCTGCTCATCCACACTTGCACTTTTCTTTCGTTTTGCAGCTAGCCTCGACGATAAGGAGTGGCGAAATGGTGGCGGGTTCTGTTAACACAGTTTTGTGCAACAACATCTCCAGAGATTGCAAGTAAGCTAACCAGTTTCCGTGTTTGTTTCTTATACTTTTTGCTACTGCAGCACGGAACGAGAAGAGCTCTAACATCTTCATAAAAGAATTGCAACATTGTAGACAATTGCTGACTGCTGAGAATAACAGAAGGAAAAACCGATGCTTACACTAGTTTACAATAAGAGTGTCTTCTTGGTGCAGGCTGCTGCAGCAATCAGCTTCTCCAGAAAGTGCAAGCACTAAAAAAAAACGGGGCCCGTTGCCGAAGTCGTTCGTTCATGATGAAGGCAGCAAAGGGACCAGGCGAAGCTTGAAAAGCTCTCCCAGCGCTTTTCTCACATCCATCTAAAGGATAGTGTCATGAGTAAGGTACACTGCCACTTAAAAATAAGACTTACTTGATTACTGCAGATAAGCTTTGTGAAGTATGGGTAGAACTCCGAGAGATGTCTCTTGAACATTTCGCCTTCCATCTCGGACAACGAGTTGAGCACCTGTAAGGTTTGGACGAAACGTTTAGTATGCGACTAGCGTTGCGATCCTGCGAACCTTGACGACCACTGAAGAGCGCAAGCTGAGAGAGTAGTGAGCCTCAGCTTGGATAGGCTCCCCGGGAGCCGGGATCAAAGCCACCGCTTCTTTCAGTATATGGGAATAAAAGGTTACGAGACGCCGCTCTGCCTCCTCTTTAAGATTTCCATCCGCTGGAGACAACACGGCTTGGTTGAGCAGCGTCAGGTATATCCGTGTTCCTTCAACTTCCTGTCGGAGAAGCGTTGGAGGCGGCCTGTAATCAACCCAAGTTTCCACGTCAAGCCTTTCATGATAAGATGAAGGCTTACATTTCGCCAGAAAACTGCTGGATACGAATGCGAAGGTTAGCATCTGAGTTGTAAGTCGCCGCAAAGTCCACCACTGACAACAATGTATCCATAATCTGGATTTTGTTCGACGTGCTTAGCAGACTCCAGTGCTTTGCCTGTGTTAGATAGATACTTGGTTTACACGGGGCCAAAAACTCCCAAGATGAAGCTTACCTGCATGCTTTCAAGAGCTCTCAGCAATAGCAACTGCGTCAAGCACTTGCTTCTAACGATCGGAAGCTGTAGCGCCGCGTCCTCGATACTAGCGAGACTAGTTTCCTCCGCGTCACTCGACTGCAACGAGAAAGTAGAGTCACACCACAAACGGGATAACCACATACCTGGACACGAGGAGGACTTGGACTATCAGTCGATCGGGATCTGCCTTTGAAAGTTAAGTTCTTCTTCAAAAATGCGTCCACCATATTGCCAACCAGTCTTCGGCCTAACGTATGGCCCCCGAAGAGGCCTCCTTTTCCTTCCTCAGAAGCTGGCGGCGTAGGAGTAAATCCTGCAATAATACCGCAGATTAGTTCAGCACGAGCATTGTACGCAGGTTCCACCTTCCGCCTCTGCATGAGACGGTGTTTCATGAGGATCACCGTCAGCTCTGCTATCGAAACTCGACCTTCCACTTTGTTTCACTGGCTCACCATTGCTATCACCAGAGACCTGACCACTCTGGTGGCTGTCCTGGCTTTCTACGTCCCACTCAGCTGGAGCTCCCAGGGGCAAGTTGTCTGTCCTCTGACCTGTCAAACTCCCCGACCTTCGAACATCAAATCCAAGACCGTCTGGACTCAGGAGCTCCACCGGCTGAGTAGTATAGCACGCGTCTCTACACAAACCGACATATAAACCGATGGTATATGGAACAGCTGACCTACCTTAAACTGTCTAGAAGAGTTGCCCAGTCTTTTTCAGCGAATTGATGACCTCCAATCTCCGTGAGACGGACTAGAGCACCAACAGCAATGCCGGCAAGGGCTTGATCTGGCCGTGTGACGCAATCCAGAAGCAATGCCAACAACGACGGCAAAAGAAACGAGACTTCCTGCAAGACCAGCAGTCAATATAATTCTCTCGAGCGGATAGAAGCCTATAGCTATACCTTGTAGAAGCTACTGAATAGATCGCAAAGGAGCTGGAGAGAATGGATGCATGTCTCTCGAAGCCACTGCTCTGCTGATGCCTGCCGGTCGCCGTCTTTTCCAGCATGACGCACATAATCAAATATTGGAAACAGCACACGGTGAAATACGCTGTCCCAGAACGACGTTGAAAACTGATGTCCACGTTCCTTTAAAAGATCGAACAGGACTTCTAAAGCGCAGTTTCTGACTTCAATCCGTGGGTCGGAAGTGAGGTCGGAAAGCCCAGCGAGCATGGGAAACCAATAGTATTCAGAGACGTCCACATCGGCTCCCTTGCCAACTGTTTCAACAGCCTTCGAATTGATTCCTGGTAGCCGTCCCTGTAGATCAAGCACATTAGTTACAACATCCAGGAAGGTCAGAAAGTTTACCTCGGCAAGGCGATCTTCGCATATACGTAAAAGTGCTATTGCTTTCAAGCTTATTCGAGAGCTAGTTTTGTTGTTCGCAAAAGCCATAAGACAGTTGACGCAATCCATGAAGCAGTCTCCTGCGACTTGATCAAAATTCTCAAGCACAACTGCGGAAAAAACCGGCTAGAGGTGGTGAGAAAATGTGAAGAACCCGCCTACCTTGCTCGACATTCTCAAATGCTAAATCAGCGATTGCTTCCGTATCGTCATATGCAGCTGTTGTGAATACCATAAACACGCTTTTCCAGCCGGACTTTATGCTTCCAACTTTAGATTTGATTATCTGGAAGAGCATAGAGCTAGATGTAAACCGATCTCCAGTGAGAAAGAAACATTACCTGCACAATGCAGTCCACAATAAGACCCCGCACCACGGTACTTTTGTTAGTGCGCATAAGAACGACAAATGGCTTCAATATGTCGTTCTGAAAGGAAAAGTTGGCCAGCTCTTTCCGTTCAAAGTACTTCATTCCCAACTGACGTAGTGAATCAATCGCATACATGGCGATTTTTTCATCGTGGTGACTGCCAGCAGCTACAAAATGCTGTGATAATACGGACCATATTTTGGCCCAAACCTGAGAGACGGTCATGAGCTTCTGATAAAGATAAAAGTTCAACTTACCATTCTGATACGGGCCATATTGTAGTAGCTGATTTCCACAAGCTTTTGAAGGCTGTAAACCCGGGGAGGTACCTGCTTCATTTCTTCGACGGAAACTCCGCATAAGGCTGTGAAAAATTCCACAACCACATCGCTGGGGAGCTTCACGCTGTTAACGAAGACCTGCTCAGTCGGTTTTCCAGTAAGGTCTATGAGCGCCTGAGCGAGAGCGTCTCTCGAGATCTGGTTTGCCCCGTGCATCAGGGTCGGCAAGATTGAAGGTGACGACGTTATGTGCTCGAGCCTCGACACACATTCTAAAACGGCGTTCCATGTATCTTGTAGACAATTCGGTTCGGTCTCAGCTATTCCAAGCAGCGTCTTCAATGCCTCCACATTTTTCATTCGCATATCTTTTGGAGCATGAAGAAACGTAAAGCTGCATGGAAAACAATTAGTAAGCACCCTCGAAGCTCATAAGCGTACCGTATTAAAGATGTTAGGAAAGCGTATCTGAGAGTGTCCATCCCAAGAAGCTTCGTCAGATGAATACCAGAACGGAATCCTTCCATGCAAGGTTGGACCCGAGGCTTATTCTCGTTATCTTCCATCGTGACCGAGAAAGCTGCAAGTAGTGGCCATCCGACAGCTTCAAGCATAGGCCGGGCAAGCTCCCCGTGAGTTGCCTTGTGAAATGTTCCCTTCTTCGTGTCAGCCCGCTTAAACAATGCCTGAGTTCTTCGAATAATTTCCTCACTTTCACGCTTGGCTTCTGCAGCAGTTTTTTTTTTCGAAACTCCAAGGTTCAAGACACTAACAAGACGCCCTTTTTCTTCCGCGTTGTCTTTCTTCGTTGAATCGGCATCTTTCATTTTGATCTCCTCTTTCACAATAGAACCGTATAGCTCCTGGAGAAGGTCGACGGGTGGGTGCTCCTCGGCATCACTCTCTGTGTTGAGACGAACAAAATCGTCTTTGGACATTTTTGGCCAGACCATAGGATTATGGGCATCCGTGTTGAGCATAATAACTGCATATGCCAGAACATAAGCTGTGTCGGCAGATTTGAAGAGCCCCGGGTTGCAACGGCAGTACCTGGAACACTCTAGTTTGAAGCATGCACACGGGCATTGGCAAATCGTACCTTTCGGCAAATTTCTCCATTATATGATCAATCTTTTGAGCTTCGCCAGGCAATCGAAAACTCCTCAAAAACTCCCGAATGGCTTGGTCAAACTTCATGTTCTGTAGTTGTGAGCTATCAACATACGCATGCATGACAGACACCTGGAATTCCTCGTGCTGACCCAAATAATCGCCAATCATAGTCTGCGAAACAAACGAGTTGAGACATGCCAGATTAGTTTCGAAATGTACCTTGTCTAGACCCGACATCGTTTTTAAAAACTGTGCGATTGCACCTGGATCGCGTTGAACAAGCTTGTTTGTCACAAGGTACTCAATGCCTTTGGCCGCATTACGATTAAACTGTAAATAAAAAGCGTAAAGTTCATTCCATGATCGAACAACCAACCTCCGCTATGGCAGCTTCCATTGTCGATTTCTGAGCCTTAGCCTTTTTAATATCAGCCGCTTGTGTTGATGCGTGCAATCCTTCTTTTCCAGACTGATGATCAGACAGATATCTTTTCTTGGCATCATCATGTGATTTAGTCCAATGTACTAATGACTTAACCACATTGACCAAGCACTGCAAAATGCGACAATATATTAGCTGCAATGAGTGGAAACTATAGAAATTACCTGTAACGATGATCCTTTCAAAGCTGTATTTTGGGCAAGGGCGGGATCTGCACTAACTGTACCTTGTGCCATTTTTGAAAGCGAGCTCACCTAAGGAACAATGACGATAGGGGAGAAAACATCAAATGAGGTTTACCATGCGTTCAAACAGATTTGTGGCTTCTAGATCGCAATCGTAATTAACAAATGTATCGGCTAGCGTTTGTGAATCGGTACACACCCTCTCCAACATTCTACACACCAGCATCAGTTAGGCTGAACAGAGGTATGACCCGCCTTACTTCAAAACGGACAATCTTTGTTGAAGTGGCGTGTCAACGCTGTCTAGAGGCCGCAACACTATTAACGAGAAAAACACCCCGACTTCCGCCTGTCATACGATGTAAGTACCCGCTTGATATTACCACCAGTCTTTTACCTTCAGGCTTTCTCTAAAACGCAAAAGCAAGACCATAAAGATCCCGCAAGAATTCTGCAGCCGAGCGAATGTTGGCAGGCATCTATTTAAATAAAGAATGCTCACCTGAAAAATTGTTGTGTTGGAGGAGACACAAGCTCGAAGAAGTGCATAGGACAGGTAAGCCTTGATAGAATCTATAAAGGCAAAATTCACTGTGAATGAAGGGCTAACGCTCTCCAGGAGGCCCTGCTCAATTAAGTAAGAAGTTATTCGTTCTCATTTGAAAAAGCACCTGTATTAATTCGAGAGACAATATCTTCGTTCTTGTCACCATGTCATCTGCCCCGTCTTTCATTGACATCTATAAAAAACTTTAAATTAAAAAAAAAAATGTGCTTATCAGACTGCCTACCTTGCAAAGAGTTCTGAAAACCATAAGGGCCTCCCGTTGGCCTACATTTAGGCTATTCAAATCGATACCCCTGGCAAAACAAATTTTAAGTACCAGATAAAGATAATGCGACACATACTCATTGGAAACCGCTCCACCTTCAGACAGAATTGCCTTGTCTAGCGCCGCTTCAAGGCCCTAAGCATCATATAAAAATCTTATAAGAGAGAAAAGAGAGAAAAATACGGAATAAAAAAAAACCTTTATATCGGCATCCCCAGCCAAGTGCTGAAGTTCCTCCACACTCACGGAAGCCTGTGAGCTTGTAGGACTTGAATTTTCAGCCTCGTGTCTGCGATAGTGCTCAGTAGCCTGTTTGACATCAGGATTGTTTTTCTGTTGAGATAAAACATGTTCCGCCGGCTGCTTATAATGTGTGTGTAAGTCAAGAACATAAACAAGAACACGAACCCCATTCTCTGATTCCATTCTCTTAAAGACAATGTTGATCATTTGCGTAAGTGTGGCCTTGGCTGTAGCCTGGTTCACGGAGCTTTTACTGAACATATTTCAGACCAGTGTAAGTTAGGTGAAAATTAGCTAAACAGATACCTGTTCAGCACGATAGAGTAGCACGTCCGGATAGAGCTCAGCAGGCACTCTCCGTGAACTGCATAAAAGGAACCTTTTCAGGTAACGCAAGAAAATTAAAAGAAGCTTACCTTGAAATTTCGACGAGGCAACAGCTGTTAACAGTACTTTTATCACTTGCAAAACAGTGCTAGTGTAGAAGCAAAAGTCAGGTACACTCACTTGGCAGCACAAAAGAGAAATGGTCACCTATCCGTCGCTGAATTGTCGATGCATGAACAGACTTTGTTCAAGACTTCCGTCAGCATAGCACCATTTTTGCCACCCTCGGCTCCAGCCTCACCTTCGAGATGCCCAAAAGAGATAAGTTTCTGCGCAAAACATGAGACTTAGTAGAAACACAGGAAGATCTCACACTGCGGCACGTACATGAAGGCAATCCAAGGCCGTTTCCACCAGCTTGGGCTGCTTGGTTTCGATTGCTAGGCGCAGAGGGAGTAGAATGAGGTCGGCCTCGGAAACTTCCAACGTACCGCCAGCCTCCGCCATGGTTGCCGCGGCCACCTGACTGCTGGTTCGTCTTTTAGGAGAAGTAACACTGCTAGCAGCAGTAGGACTCTCCGTGGACTTGGGTGTGCCAGGCTCACTCTCGGCATCCTGCTGAGGAGGAGGACTATCCAACACAAATGCGGGAAGAGTTTCCTAGGAGATGAAAGAAATGGAAGGCTTACGCTTTTGGTCCATCTGTGGATCCTGAGGATTGGCCTCTATCTGAAAGCACCAGAAACTCGCTGTTGGATCGAAATTCATGCAATGCTGACTGACCTAGATATTCTTTGAGGGCATTCTGGAGCGCTGTATACTTTTTGCCTTGAGATTCCTTCGCCAAGCGCTCGAATGCGCGTGTCACAAACGCCCCAGCTGCATCTGCCATGGCTAAGCTCCAACTCGCCAATCACAAGATCGATCAATTGCTGGAGGGAGATCACCATCGCCTGCTTCAGATCGCGTGAGCGCGCCCCGGCGCCAGATCTAGACAACCTAATCACTTACACGCCAGGCGCGAGGGATGAATCGCTCGCACAGATCTCCATCCAGGCCAGGCGGATCGCTGCGCGTGGTAGCTGAGCCTCCTACCGGAAGAAAACCCAGGTACGGAAGTGGCCCTTAAATTATATATGTATTGGCCGTAAAGTACACATTGGGACCACATTTTTCCCCTGTGAGCCAAAATGCGGCTTTGGTCTACCTAGGCCTAGGCGGCCCAGAGAAGCTCTCTGCTCCTTCTTTTTCCATAACGTCGCTCTAGGTTTAGGTGCCGGCATTGCGAGGAGGCGATGGTAGGAGCAAGATCCTTGTAGCGTCCCAGCATTGACGATGGAGCAAGCGATGCGGCCGTGGCTCTTGTTGTTCGTCGCCGCTGGGATCTTCGTCTCGTCAGCCACGGGCAACTCGGAGGGTAAGCAAGGTTCCCCAGCTCCAGATTATCGGTCAGCGTGGTGTCAGGCTCTGTCTGGATTGTCAGATGGAACTCGAATCGCATGTCATTGCAATCGTGAGAGCGCGGGCACTGACTTGTGTGGTGTTTTGGCTGGCTAGGCGATGCCCTTCATGTATTTCGGCAGGCGCTGGATGATCCTAGCAACGTCTTGCAAAGCTGGGATCCCACACTGGTCAATCCTTGTACCTGGTTTCACGTAACTTGCAACACCCAAGACAACGTTATAAGAGTGTAAGCCGCTCGCTTCCTTCTTTGTATGCTTCTTCTTTACCTCTACACTCCTTTGGCAGGGACTTGGGAAATGCATTTCTCTCAGGGCGTTTGGTAGCAGCTCTTGGCAATCTCGAAAATTTACAGTACTTGTAAGTAAATCTAATTCCTCCTATTCTCTATGGTGGAGCTAACTAGGACCCCCCCTTTTCCATTGTTTCCTTTAACAGGGAGTTGTACAGCAACAACATCACTGGGCCAATCCCAAAGGAGCTGGGCAACTTGACTGAGCTCGTCAGCCTTGATTTGTACCAAAACAGCTTCACTGGCGATATACCTGACTCACTCGGTAAACTTCATAATCTGAGGTTCCTGTAAGTAATCTATCGTTTCCCTTCGTTTCGCTTCAACCCTTCTTTACCTCTTTCCAGCCGACTAAATAATAATACACTCGACGGCAAGATCCCCAACTCACTCACCACAATCCCGGGGCTTCAAGTGCTGTAAGTTGTTCTCTGAGTTGTCTGGGAGGAGGTGTGTCACTTCTCCCTCTTGTCCTTGCAGGGATCTCTCGAATAACAATTTGTCAGGTCCAGTTCCAACTAATGGCTCCTTTTCGCTGTTCACGCCGATAAGGTACTTTTGGCGGACATTCTTTTTGGCTGTCTCTCCTCATAACTCGTTATCGTACAGTTTTGGAGGTAATCCGGCATTGTGTGGTGCTGTTGTCAGCCGTCAATGTCCAGGAGGGCCCCCATTGCCACCTCCGACTCCCTACCAGCCACCCTCACCTTTTGTTGGCAATCAAAATGGTAAGGTGTTAATTGGCTGGAGAGTCGGGTGTTTCAAACAGTCTGAATGGCCTCAGGAAATAATGGGGGATCCTCGAGCACCGGTGCCATTGCTGGAGGTGTGGCTGCCAGCGCTGCCTTGCTTTTTGCAACTCCAGCTATCGCTTTTGCGTGGTGGAAACGTCGCAGACCGCACGAGGCCTACTTCGATGTCCCAGGTAAGAGCTGCTCATACTCGTGCTGAACCTGCTAACGACTTCTGTGACAGCTGAAGAGGATCCCGAAGTTCACCTTGGTCAGTTGAAGAGATTCTCACTCCGAGAACTTCAGGTCGCAACAGATAACTTCAACAACCGGAACATCCTTGGTCGGGGTGGGTTTGGAAAAGTGTACAAAGGCAGGCTGGCAGATGGATCTCTGGTAGCTGTTAAAAGATTGAAGGAAGAACGAAGTCCAGGTGGTGAGTTGCAGTTCCAGACTGAAGTCGAGATGATAAGTATGGCTGTACACAGAAATCTTCTCCGTTTGCGTGGTTTTTGCATGACACCAACGGAAAGACTTCTTGTTTATCCATACATGCCCAACGGAAGCGTTGCTTCCCGGTTACGAGGTATGCAAATGGTGGTCATTCTTGTGTCATGGACTATAACGCTGAAAGCGTTGCAGAGAGACTTCCGGGAGATACACCACTGGACTGGCCAACGAGAAAATGCATAGCTCTAGGTGCGGCGCGTGGTTTGTCATATCTTCACGACCACTGTGATCCCAAAATTATCCATCGCGACGTCAAAGCAGCAAACATCTTGCTGGATGAGGAATACGAAGCTGTGGTGGGGGACTTTGGCCTGGCCAAGCTCATGGACTACAAAGACACGCACGTCACAACAGCAGTCCGAGGCACGATCGGCCATATCGCTCCCGAGTACTTATCCACGGGGAAGTCGTCAGAGAAAACGGACGTGTTTGGTTTCGGGATCATGTTACTGGAACTCATCACTGGACAACGAGCGTTTGATCTCGCTCGCCTCGCCAACGATGACGACGTCATGCTTCTCGACTGGGTACGTATCTCACCAGTCTGTCTTTCTTGCGATTTAAGCCATACTTTGGTCTCAACTCTCTTCAGGTGAAAGGACTGCTAAGAGAGCGAAAGGTGGACCTTTTAGTGGATCCCGACTTGAAAAACGAGTACGATCCCATGGAAGTCGAGCAGCTCATTCAGGTGGCACTTCTATGCACACAAGGCTCTCCAATGGACAGGCCCAAGATGGCCGAGGTCGTAAGAATGCTCGAAGGCGACGGCCTGGCGGAGAGATGGGAAGAATGGCAAAAGGTGGAAGTTGTCCGAAGCCAGGAAGTCGAGCTCGTGTCGCATGGAAACTCCGAGTGGATTGTCGACTCCACGGATAATCTACACGCGGTGGAACTCTCGGGTCCAAGATAGTAGAGTAGCTAAGGCTATTAATTAGTTGTAATTGTGGCTTTAATCTCCCGCCCCCCGCAACAACTGTTTTTATTTTGCAAAACTGGGGGCGTGTGCGAAAGCCGTCTCGTTTGCTAGCTTTCAGACGAAAGCAAGGAAACGCTTAACGGAGAAGAGCACAAACAGGGTTACCATGTAACAAAGCGCCATCGCGCACTCTCGCGGCGATGTCACCAGGCACTGGCGGATCTGGTAAGCAATGCGGCTCGCGCGATCGCGCGAGCTTCCACGGCTTTTGAAATCTTTGCGAAATCTGGCAGCAAAAGCGAAGAACATCGAGGTTTTTGTCCGGGTCCGGCCGCCGTCCAAAGCTGAGGATGGGAGGAGGGATAAGATTGTCGCTGAGGTCGTGGAGGATAGACAGATCAGAGTAGGATCGAATGAAACGTTTTGTACTTGGTTTCTCATACTCCTATTCAACATAGGTTGTGGATCAAGGCTATGGCAACACGACGACAATAAGAACCTTCCAGGCAAGAACTATTCTCGTTGTTTTGTGCCCCGCCTCAAGAATTCTCTTTGTCTATTAGTTCGATGGCTGCCTTGGGCCCGAGGTGTTGCAAGACCAAGTTATGGAGCGTTGTGGACTGCAAAGAATGCTCGAGTCCGTCATGGAAGGCTACACGTCCACTGTCATGGCTTGCGGCCAAACCGGATCCGGCAAGACGTACACAATGTGCGGTCGACAAGAGGTCAGGAAACCACCACCTTGACATTGAGTTTGATCACTTTGCAGCGAGGTAAGAGCTCTCGTCTCTTCTTGTTGTGTATTTTATACGTGCACAGGGTGGAGTAGAAGTAGGCTGCGATGATGGCTTGATTGCCCGATCAGTCAAGTATCTCTTCAGTGCGATCAAGCTGGAGGCCGACCGGGATGCTTCCAAGTCGTATACGATGCGCGCGTCTTACTACGAGATTTACAACGAGCAGGTTCTTTGCTTAAACACGCATGTCGCTGAGGCATTCTCTTGTTGAGCCACAGGTGAATGATCTGCTTCGACTTGAATCAGCACCGCGAGAGATCAAGTGGAACGTAAAAAGTGGATACTACGTAGAGAGCTTGCTGCTTGTCGAGTGTGAATCCGTGGACGACGTGTTTTCGGTGCTTAGCGAAGGAGCCAAGAACCGAAAGGTGGCTTTCCAGTTTCTTTGTTTCTTTCAACTGTCTAACGTTAGATTGCTGTTTGCAGATGGGAACGCACAATCTAAACAAGGACAGCAGCAGAAGTCACTGTATCATGACGCTTCATGTCGATTCTCTGTGCCATATGGACGCTGGCCCGCCTGTTACGAAACTGGGGAGGATATTGTTTGTGGATTTGGCCGGGAACGAACGCCTGAAAAAGAGCAAGAGCTCTGGAGAGATGCTCAAGGAAACCGGGAGCATAAACAGGTCTCTTTTCACTCTGGGGAAGGTAAACGATATCTATTCCCACATTCGTTCAAACTCCTGCACAACATTGCCAGGTGATTTCTTGCTTGGCGGAGGGTAAGAAAGGCGATGTCGTTCCTTACAGGTCTCTCCTCGCGTTTTCCAGCAGTGTGTGCTTGTTGTCAAAAAGTTAAGAGACTGACATGACAATCCTCGTTGTGCTCGCCAGGGAGAGCATGCTGACCAAGCTGCTCATGGAGAGCTTGGGGGGCAACAGCTTAGCTCTCATGATCGCTTGCATCTCTCCGGCGGTGACTGCGGTCGACGAGACGCTAAGCACGCTACATTACGCAACGTGCACGAAGAAGATCATCAACGTACCCACTGTGAATATGGACGAGAAAGACAAGGTACCGAGCTTTAGCCAGGCCCAGAAAACAAATGGATCGTTCATTCTTCTTTTCCAGGTGATACTGCAACTACAAAAGGACATATCCAGCCTCAAGCAAGAGAACAAGCTCCTGCGGACAATTTTGGGTGTTTCCGCCGAGGAGGAGGTGCCCGCGGACGTGCTAGCCTCTCTCAAGTCGGACGAGGCAATGCTCCTCAACCAAATGGTGCTAGCCAAGGCCGGGCTGGCGCATCAAGGCGACCTCCAAAAGATACGATTGCCGCCAATCAAATCCATCAACGCGCAGAGTGACATGCTGCTGCCCACCGACGTCCTCGGCAAATAAAACAGACTTTCGCCCCAGAAAACAAGTTGCTCGCGTCCCGCGCCCAGCACAAGCTGCTGCTGACTTTTTGTAAATTAAACATCCCATACGCAAAAACCAATGTGGCACGATCTGTGTGATCCAATTGCCAGGCAAAAAAAGAATGATAACTCTTGCGTGCCTTGAGGAACTCCAAACAGGGAGCAAGGCCACGAGTCAACGGCCAAAGCGAGACCCAAAGACGAAAGGCGGGGCCGTTGACCAGCTGCTTCAAACTGGCAAGGGTCGTGTTTTACACCCCAAAGTCAACAGTCTCGACTCCACTCCTCTGTGAAGAGGCGAGGGGGCGGAGATACGGACTACCCCTTGTCCGCTGCCAAGCGGGCTGGAGCAGAGAGAGGGACAGGAGATCTTTTCCAAATCGCGGCAGCTTTATAAGGCCTGGATTCTCAGCAATCTGGCAGCAGGGAATTAGCGTCCGAGTTTCAAGTTCCAATCAAGCGCAGAGGAAACAAGTTCTTCCAAAAGGGAGGAGCAGCAGGAGAGGAGCCATGGCGGAGCAGAGCACGTCGGGGATTGGCGTGGACGCAGCCGGCGATCCGGGCGTGTCGATGCACGGGGTGACGGGCAAGGAGCAGGCCTTCGCCTTCTCGGTGGAGGCGCCATCGCCGATAGCCGACCCCGCCGCCAAGAAATTCGCGCTGCCCGTCGACTCGGAGCACAAATCCAAGGTGTTCAACATCTTCTCGCTGGCCAACCCACACATGAGAACCTTTCACCTCTCGTGGATCGCCTTCTTCACTTGCTTCACCTCCACCTTCGCGGCGCCGCCGCTCCTCCCGATCATCCGCGACAACCTGGGGCTCACCAAGCTGGACGTGGGCAGGGCCGGAATCGCGTCCGTGACGGGCGCCATCGTCTCCAGGTTCGCCATGGGGCCAGTGTGCGATCTCGTCGGCCCGCGCTATGGCTGCGCCTTCGTGATTATGATGACCGCCCCCGCCGTCTTCTCCATGAGCCTCGTCTCGTCGGCCACCGGATTCATCCTCGCGCGCTTCTTCATCGGCTTCGGCCTCGCCACCTTCGTGTCGTGCCAGTTTTGGATGAGCTCCATGTTCAACAGCAAGATCGTGGGATCCGCAAACGGCACCGCTGCCGGGTGGGGCAATCTGGGCGGCGGAGCCACGCAGCTCATCATGCCGCTCGTCTTCAAGGCCATCCAATCCATGGGGTCGGACAAGTTCATCGCCTGGAGGATCGCCTTCTTCGTCCCGGGCTTCTTCCACATCTTCATGGGCCTGATGGTGCTCACCCTCGGCCAGGACCTCCCGGATGGCAACTACGCGCTGCTCAAGGAGACGGGCAAGAAGAACAAGGACGCATTCTCCAAGGTATGGAGTTGGATCTTCTCTGATCGATCGGCTTGGAAGCTCACTTGTGTGTATTAACCTATCCAGGTGTTTGTCAACGCGATCAGGAACTACCGGACGTGGATCTTCGCGCTGCTCTACGGCTACAGCTTCGGCGTGGAGCTGACGGTGGACAACATCATCGCCGAGTACTTCTACGATCGCTTCGGCCTCGACCTCCACACCGCGGGCATTGTCGCCTCCACCTTCGGCATGGCCAACCTCTTCGCGCGGCCGCTGGGCGGGATCCTGTCCGACGTCGTCGCCCGCCGCTTTGGAATGCGGGGGAGGCTGTGGGCGCTGTGGCTGATGCAATCCATGGGAGCAGTGCTGTGCATCGTCCTCGGCCTGGTTGGAAGCCTAGGCCCCTCCATCGGCGTCATGATCCTCTTCTCGCTCTTCCTCCAGGGCGCCTGTGGCTGCACCTTCGGCATCATCCCTTTCGTGTCGCACCGATCGCTGGGCGTCATCTCCGGCCTCACGGGCGCCGGCGGCAACGTTGGCGCGGTGCTCACGCAGCTCATCTTCTTCACCAGCAACCAGTACTCCACGCAAAAGGGGATCTCGCTCATGGGCGTGATGAGCTTGGCGTGCACGATGCCAGTGCTCCTCGTCTACTTCCCGCAGTGGGGCGGCGCGCTCTTCCCGGCATCCGGCGAGGTCACCGAAGAGCACTACTACACATCCGAGTGGACCAAAGCCGAGAAGGAGCAGGGCATGCACAATGCGAGCGTCAAATTCGCGGAGAATGCTCGATCCGAGCGCGGGCGCCGGGTCGCGTCGGCTCCCACGCCCCCTCATCCCTCTTCCATGGCTTGAGAACCCTAAAAAGTTTCAACTGCTTTGCTGAATACTTTTTTTTATACATAGAAATGAAAGGCACCCATTTTTATACGCGTACCATACGGCCGGGAAAAAGGGACCCGTTGCCGCGCTTGGCAAATTTTGAAAGCGCCGCACAGTAGAGGGTGCGGCGAATATGCCAGGCGTCTAGGGTATTGCGGGGAGAGGAAGGGGGAGAAGCGCGGGCGCCATGGGCGAGCAGTCGACAAGCCCCCGCGCCATCCGATGGCGCAAGGGCGAGCTCATCGGCGTCGGCGCCTACGGCCGCGTCTACATGGGGATGAACCTTGACTCCGGCGAGCTCATCGCGGTCAAGCAGGTGCGTTTCCCTCGCAAGTTTTGAGCTGCATTTCGAGCTCCTGGTGCATTGCCTTCTCTAGGTCTTGATCGCGGCCAGCAACTTCGCCAAGGGCAAGGCCCAGCTCAGTGCTCACATCCGGGAGCTGGAAGAGGAGGTGAAGCTGCTCCAAAACTTGTCACACCCCAACATAGTTGTAAGTGTCTCCTGTGGCGGTTGAATTTGATGATCAAGATGTGTGGCAGAGGTACTTAGGAACCGCCAGGGAGGAGGAGGCGCTCAACATCTTTCTTGAATTTGTTCCCGGTGGATCTATTTCGTCGCTTCTTGGGAAGTTTGGTTCCTTCACAGAACCCGTGATTCGTATGTATACTAGGCAGTTGCTCTTGGGGCTTGAATACCTTCATCAGAATAAAATAATGCACCGAGATATCAAGGTAAAGTGAGTGATTTAGATGAAGGGTATTTTTCTTACTTCCATTCATGCAGGGAGCAAATATATTGGTAGACAACCAGGGCCACATAAAGGTAGCAGATTTTGGAGCATCGAAAAAAGTTCTTGAGCTGGTAGGCGTTGAATGCCTTTTTGATTTGGCCATTTCATGATTGCGTTTCGACGCAGGCAACCATTTCGGAAGCAAAGTCCATGAAAGGGACCCCGTACTGGATGGCCCCCGAAGTTGTCAGGCAGACTGGTCACAATTGGTAGGCCTCTGCTTTTTCTCGTCTTGGCTTTTCAAGTGTTTTTCGTATGTATCGTCTTATCAGGCAAGCAGACATATGGAGTGTGGGTTGCACTGTCATTGAGATGGCAACAGGCAAGCCGCCGTGGAGTGATCAGTTTCAAGAGGTATGCTCTCGTCATTTGTTTGAAAGAGAGAACTCGTCTATCTGGATTTTATATTAGGTGGCTGCCTTGTTCCACATCGGTACAACCAAGTCGCATCCTCCTATTCCAGAACATCTATCCCCTGATGCAAAAAGTTTTCTTTTAAAATGTCTTCAAAGGTACTACCCATCTGAAAATGCATGCTCATTGCTGTTCTTTTTGGTGCAGGGAGCCACGACTGAGACCAACAGCTGCAGAGCTTCTTAAGGTGTGTGCGCTTTGATTATGCCATGTTCTCATATATATGTTCTTGCCAGCACCCTTTTGTTTCAGAAACGTACGACAGTAATGCCATGGCGCCCAAATTTATACCAACGGTTGATGATTGTCAGTTAAGAAAATCATTCGTAGATGATCTCAATTGTTCAGTGAGGCTGGACTCTCCCTGTGCGAGCTTATCAAACGACGAGGTTTGCCACGACGTAGAATGTTTCGTTAATGACTTTGTGTTTCGACTTGAAGATATGTCCAAGCTTCAACCCGGTGTCGGAGCCTTCATACGTGGAAGGCGCCTGTTGGACACTTGGTCGCAGCAATTCTGCGGATCCAGTCGGTCCTTCGAGCCATACTGACGACGATGACGTTACAGAGTCAAAAATCAAAGCTTTTTTGGAGGCGAAGGTAGAGCAAGAGGTTGATTCCATGTTCTGAAGGCTTTCTTGGCGCAGGCATCGGAACTGGCAAAGTTGCAAACTCCACTCTACGAAGAATACAGCCTCTACAAAGGCAGCAGTGAGGAGCCAAATTCGAGTTTTGTTGCACCGTTGAGTCCCGCAAGGCCGAGGCCACCTACAGCTAGTAGGTCCCCAAGCAAAGGGAGCAGTTTCAGTGAGAGGTCTACGTACGTGAGAAACAGTTGCGAAAGTGATGCAAGTGTCAGCTCAGACAGTGCTGCTCCCGCACCTGGTCCCGCGGCGAATTTCAATCCACTGCTCGAGGTCAGACTAAATGGACAGGATTTTCCACCATCCATTCGCAACTCCAGGTACGTTTCACCCCTTCGTTTTTTAGTATGTTGACCCGGACACTGAAATACCCTTGCAGTAGCTTCTGCGACAGGCAGAGGCAGTGGAAGGAGGAGCTCCAGCAAGAGCTCGAAATGAAGAGGGGTAATATGACACGTGTTTAAAGTCATTGGCATTAAGTTTTGATTTGTGTTTGCAGAAGAGAAGCGCAAGCTTGCGCGGCATGCAAGTGGAGCAACATCTCCGTTGTTTCAGCGGCAAAGCAGTCGGCTGGGCTTCTCTCCCGTCAGATAAGACTGTGAATTTCCTATTCCTGTAACTTTTTTACTCCAATAAATTGCCTATGAACGAGTTGACCTGCTAGGTTAGGGTCACAGAGATCGGTATTTGGATGAGGGACACAGATGGGTGACAGGCAGCATGGCACTATCCAGCGAATTGCAGTGCGAAGCTGTTGTCAATCAGGTGGTCGGCCGTGTGAGAGCCTCGGGATACAGTGATGGAGTTTGCAACGAGCTCAGGGAGCACTTTGCGCGTCTTCCATCACGGTAAATCACCAGCTTGTTGCCAAATCGAATGTGACTTTGGTGTGTTTTCTTGTTGCAGCTACACGCTCAACATTGATGTGGAGCGGCATGAGGATGTCCTGCTTCATATGAAGCTCATCCAGCAAGCACGGGATGAAGAAATCAGCTCTCGAGTTAATTCCGTGGAAGCACCTTCTCTTCCGGTCGTAAATGCTCGCAAAGTTCAGCTGGGGGGCGGCTTGGATACCGATGCTGCTTGCAATCATGTGGGTTCTAGCTACAGTTGGCTTGCTGCCATGTCGAAGTTACCCAAGCCAGCGTTTGGTTCCAGCACTAATCTTGCGGGGATTATTGCTGGAAGCCCGGCTAAAGTTCATCCGTCGTTTGGAATCGGCAGTGCACCTCCGGCGGCGATTCCTCGTCCCATGTTTGCTTCTCTGGAAACAGAAGAGCGGAGTGGTGGCTGCAGCTCGTGCTATGGATACGAACTGACTCTGGCTTCTTCGGACAGGCATGGATTGCTGAAGTTCTTCACGTCAGCTTTGAGTAACTCCTCGCTCGAGCTGAATATCAAGGTTGGCTGTTCATCTTTCAAATGCGTAAAACTGTCTCGTAAGACTGTTTCGTTGTTTCCAGGAAGCACATGTTTTCAGCACGACTGATGGAATGGCACTCGAAGTTTTTGTTGTTGAAGGCTGGATAGGGGATGATGTGAGTTTTGTTTTATGCCTTTTCCTATATCTCTTGTTGTTTTGTGTGTGTGGCAGCCAGAAGAACTAAAGCAAGCCGTTTTGACGGCATTGAGCTCCAACTTCACTGAAAGGGCACGACTTAGAGAAGTTGTCGAAAGCTTAGCTTATGAGGACTGGGCTGTGGACTACAACAATGTGAGGTTCAGTAGATTGTTTTTGCTCATAACATCTTATCTTGATTATCCGTTTAGCTGCATATTGGCGCTAGGCTAGGAGGTGGCTCTTCTGGAAGACTATATCGTGGGAAGTACCGTGGTCAAGACGTGGCCATCAAAGTGATCATGCTCGACGAAGCGGATGGTCATTCGGACTCTGGCACCCTGCGTGGCGCTCCAGCTGCCGAGCTTCTTCAAGTTTTTAAGCAAGAGGTTTCAATAATGAGGTACTTGATGGTCGTGTAATTGTTAACGTAATGCCTCTAGATTCCCCACAGAATGGTTCGGCACAAGAATCTTGTTCAGTTTATTGGAGCCTGTGCGAACTGGCCAAGACTGTGCATTGTGACTGAGCTAATGGCCGGTGGCAGGTGAGGAGCTTTCTTTGGCCTCAGAGGTTAATCACGATTCTTTAGTGTGCGAGATGTTCTTGAAAGTCGGGAGGGCGGCCTTGAGGTTCCTGCCGCACTTAAGGTGCTTCGAGATGCGGCAAAGGGAATGGATTTCTTGCATAGGTTTGTCTTTTCTATCACTGCGCTCAAATGACACTTGTTCATGCAGAAGAGGAATCGTGCATCGGGATTTGAAGTCTGCAAACTTGCTTATTGACGAGCACGATGTAAGCCAGTTGATTTGTTTGAGTCCTGTTCCTGATTTTATTTATTTATGTAGGTGGTCAAAGTTTGCGATTTTGGTGTTGCCCGACTGAAGCCTTCGAATGTAAATCGTTCTGGCTCTGGGAACTGGCCTGCCGAAATGACTGCTGAAACTGGCACATATCGCTGGATGTCACCTGAGGTCCGTTCGCTCGCAGTTTTCGTTTGCTTAAAATCAGTTACAGGTGCTGGAACACAAAGCGTACGATCACAAGACCGATGTCTACTCTTTTGGCATCATGATCTGGTAACAAGGCACTTTGTACAGAACACTGCGCAAACAATCTGTTTTTCAGGGAACTTCTTACAGGTGATATACCTTATTCCGATTTAACACCACTTCAAGCGGCTATAGGCGTGGTGCAAAGGTGGCCGGACTTTCTATTATTGAGATTCGGCAACCCATGCTTTTTCGTTTCAGGAAGCTGCGGCCATCAATGCCTGCGTCCGTCCCTGATAAGCTCGTTAATCTCGCTGAGAGGTGTTGGAATCAAGATCCACAGCTACGACCCGAGTTTAGTGAAGTACGATGTTTCAGTTCTCGTTGTCATGTTGAAACTGCTTTTGTATATTCAGGTGTTGACCATCATTGAGGAGCTGCAGAAACCACCGGCTAACAACTGGAGGAAAAGTTTCTTTAGAAAAAAGAAGCCGTAGCTTGTTGGGAAAAACATATTCGAGACGGGAGTGCTTGTAGAGGTTTGATATCAAACACGTCTGATTTGAGCCATCCTTGTGGCAGCCAGCATGCCAATGGTGCTAGTAGGTGACAAAGAGCGTGATGTGTTTCTTGGCGCCAAGCAGCCGGCAAACTCGTTGGAAAAGAAAGGGTCATCTTGGAGCTTGACACTTTCAAAACCGGTGTTTTGTAAGTGATTTCATTTCTAGAAGGGAAGCCGCCTAGGTGTGAGACACTTTGTTTTACTAATTGGATTAGAAAAAACCAATGCAGATGGTATGCTTGCAGGGGTAATATATAAAGGTGTAACCAACCGAGCGATGGGAACGAAGCTCGCTGCTGCCTGGCCATGGTATCTCTCAGGCTTGCTATCGTAGCTTTGGTTCTTCTTGCTGCGCACAATGCACTCGGAGTTGCAAATCCTAGAGGTCTGGGGGTTTGCACCAGTTTCGTCTTGCCAGAGGCTTACCAGTGCACCGAGTACATCGTAAGGAACTCTCCACGCTTTTGCGCGTACTTACCTTGGAATGCAGGTTGAAACTGCCGATGGCTATAAGCTGGCGCTCGAGAGAGTCGCGAAGAACTGTACCACGCCGACGCTGGGTCCTGTGTTCCTCTACCACGGGATTATGGAGGTTCTCGCATCCTTGGTCTCCACGCATTCGTTAATTCGTCCATTTCTTGCAGGGTGGCGACATCTGGGTGCTCAACCCGCCTGATGAATCGCTAGCTTTTATCATGGCGGACGCGGGCTACGATGTTTTCATTGGCAATGGACGTGCCTCCATGTTCAGCTCTCACAACTTGTTCTCGCGAGCGGATACGGTAGAACTCGTGTTTAGATAATGATATCACGATGACGATCGATCGTATGCGTGCAGAGGTTCTGGGATTGGAGCATGGACGAACTCGTCGTCCACGACTTACCAGCGTTGCTAACTTACGTGAACACTCTGACCGACAAAAGGATTTTCTTTGTTGGCTACTCACAGGGGACACAAGTCGCATTCGCCGCCTTGTCTCAGTCTGGGAACAAAGCAGCGAGCCTTATCGAAAGGGCCGCAATGCTAGCTCCCATTGCGTACCTCAACCATGTCCGAGCACCGATGATCGGAGAGGCTGCTCGACGCCGATTGGATCAAGTGAGTCTTGAGTTTAGAGTCTTTTTTGGAAAAAGAAGTTCTGGTTTCTCTGTTTCGCAGGTATTGCTTCGATCGGGGATCAGCGAATTCAGCCTGTCAAAGTAAGCGTTGGGCTTCTAATGTGAGCTGATTTATTTTGTTTTTCTCCTTGCCTAGTGCTGCTGGACGGCAAGTTCTTAACATCATCTGTAGACAATCAAACCTTGATTGCATCGACGATCTGCTTACTCTTTTCACAGGTACTTTGGGTCTTCGCATAAACTTTCGATTGTTTGCCTGCTTTTCAAGGTCCAAACTGCTGCGTCAACGTGAGTAGAATGAGCTACTACAACATGTACGAGATGCAGTCAACCTCCATGAGAAACCTCGCACACCTTGCTCAGCGTAAGCTTTCGTGCTTCCCAATTCAATCCTAAACATCTATCCGTCTTTCCACCAGTTGTTCGATCGGGACGGTTCGCGAAGTTCGACTTCCAGGTCCCGGGAAACATCGACCACTACGGGGTGCTCATACCTCCCTCGTACTCTCTGTCGACGATCCCAGTGAGCATTCCCATGCTGCTTGTCTATGGCGGGCGAGACGAGCTAGCGGACCAAGCCGACGTGCAGCACCTCATCCGCGACCTCCACAGGACCAGCGTCGAAGTTCTCTTCCTCCCGCGCTACGCACACGCCGACTTTGTCCTCGGCATCAATGCCAACGTCGACGTCTATCCCCACGTCCTGGAATTTTTCCAGTCCACCATCGGGAACAACTCTAGCATGGCCCCTCCTCGCGGCTAAACTCTCTTTACTTATATAACTAAGAGTTCTTAGAATCACTGGTAATCTGTGTCGGGTCAGATCGACGGTCAGATCTTGCCCACTTGTTCTGTTAAAAATCTCTAGGGTTTCTAGAATGTTCCACGTAAGTCGGCTAAGGGTTTAGGGTTTTAAACCATTTAGGGTCTTCTCTCCGGCGGGTTTTCTAGGGTATAGGCGCTTGCAAGGCTATGTCGATGTTGGCGAGAATTGCCAAGCGAGCCGTGCAGGCCTCGGGCTCCAGCCAGGTATTCTATTCGGTGCTTGGATCATCGGCCGCGATTCTTGTTTCCTGACTCCATTTTTCCTATTTTTTTCTTTGTATAGGCGGCTCACAGGCTCACAACGTCTCCACTGCTTTCGAGATGGTCTAGAAACTACAGGTGAGGCTCTCGAATTGATCTTGTCTTGCTTTTTGCTTTGGGCTAAAATCGAGAATGGCTGCTTGGTGTTGTTGTAGCAAAGCTGCTGGAGGGGATGTCATCGGTATCGATTTGGGCACAACGAATTCTTGCGTTTCTGTGATGGAGGGCAAGGTAACTATCACATTTCTCTTTTTTCGTGCTTGTTATGGCGAAAATTTTTTTCTTCACTTCTAGACTCCTCGGGTGATTGAAAATTCTGAGGGCGCTCGAACTACACCCTCGGTTGTGGCCTTCACGCCCAAAGGCGAGCGTCTGGTCGGCACTCCTGCGAAGCGTCAAGCGGTCACCAACCCGACAAATACCATCTTTGGTTCGAAGAGGCTTATCGGTCGCCAGTTTGATGACCCTCAAACTCAGAAGGAGATGAAAATGGTTCCTTACAAGATCGTAAAGGCTCCAAACGGCGATGCGTGGGTGGAAGCTGGCGGACAGAAGTACTCGCCCAGTCAGATTGGTGCTTTCGTGTTGATGAAGATGAAGGAAACTGCTGAGGCCTTCCTTGGTCGCCCCGTGACCAAGGCTGTCATCACTGTGCCAGCTTATTTCAATGACGCCCAAAGGCAGGCAACTAAGGATGCTGGAAGGATTGCTGGCTTGGAGGTTGCCAGGATTATCAACGAGCCTACAGCAGCTTCTCTGTCTTACGGCATGGACAAGAAGGAGGGCCTCATCGCGGTCTTCGACCTTGGTGGTGGAACTTTCGACATTTCGATCCTTGAGATCTCTGGCGGTGTGTTCGAGGTAAAGCTTTCTTTCTCTTTGTTTTCTCCGTGTATGACGACGCTCTTTCAGGTTAAAGCTACAAACGGGGACACCTTCTTGGGAGGGGAGGACTTCGACAACACTCTCGTGGAGCACTTACTGGCTGAGTTCAAGAAGGACCAGGGGATTGATCTCTCCAGTGACAGGTTAGCCCTTCAACGGCTTCGCGAGGCAGCAGAGAAGGCGAAAGTGGAGCTTTCTTCTACGACGCAGACAGAGATCAACCTGCCTTTCATCACAGCCGATGCTTCGGGCGCTAAGCATTTGAACCTCACCTTGACTCGCTCCAAGTTCGAGGCGCTCGTGAGCAGCCTGATCGAGAAGACGAAGCAGCCGTGCAAGGACTGCCTGAAGGATGCCGGCATCACTGCCAAGCAGGTGGACGAGGTTTTGCTCGTTGGAGGCATGACCCGGATGCCCAAGGTTCAGGAAGTTGTGCTCAACATCTTCGGCAAGGATCCGTGCAAAGGCGTCAACCCCGACGAGGTGGTGGCAATGGGAGCCGCCATTCAGGGTGGAGTTTTGCGAGGCGATGTGAAGGACATCCTTCTCCTGGATGTTACGCCACTGTCCCTGGGTATCGAGACTTTGGGAGGAGTGTTCACGAGGCTCATTCCGAGGAACACCACCATTCCAACCAAGAAGAGCCAGGTTTTCTCGACAGCAGCCGATGGTCAGACGCAGGTCGGTGTCAAGGTTCTCCAGGGAGAACGGGAGATGGCAACGGACAACAAGATGCTGGGGCAGTTTGACCTCGTTGGTATTCCTCCGGCACCGCGTGGGGTGCCTCAGATCGAAGTCACCTTTGACATTGACGCCAACGGCATTGTGAACGTATCAGCGAGGGATAAGTCTACCGGCAAGGAGCAGGCAATCACCATTCAGTCGTCTGGAGGCCTGACCGAGTCCGACATCGAGAAGATGGTGAAGGAGGCGGAGATCTACTCGCAGAAAGACAAGGAGCGCAAGGAGCTCATCGACGCCAAGAACGATGCCGACTCTGCGATCTACTCGACCGAGAAGAGCCTCAACGAGCACAAAGACAAGCTGCCTTCGGACGTTGTGACCGCCATCCAGAGCGCTGTGGCGGATCTCAAAAAGGCCGTGGAGAGCGAGAAGGTGGACCAGATCAGGCAAAAGATCAGTGCTACCCAGACTGCTGCGATGAAGATCGGCGAGACGCTGTCAAAGCAAGCACCGCCGAGCGGAGGTGGATCAGCGCCAGGTGGGGAGACTGCCGAGGCCGAGTACGACGATGTGAAGCAAGGTAAGTAAAGAGCAGAGACGAAGCAAGAGAAACGCCTGACATTTTTCTTAGCGAAGAACTGTATCTTGTTAGCTAGATGGTATTTTTTTCCCTTTTTTCTTTTTGGTTTCTTTCTACGTAGGAGACCAAGAGCCATCAGATCGAGAGTTTGTAGTAGTAATAAGGGAGCAAGCAAGCTTTGGACTCTCTCTCTCTCTCTCTCTCGTGATTTGTGTGGTACCCAACATGGGTATATGTTCTTCCTTCGCAGAAGGAAGAATTTGCCCGTTCTTGGCAAATGGTGCTTACATCCATTCTATTTCCTAGCTTTGTACATTTCGTGTCGAATCGCGATTCGATCAGTAGTAGGATGCAGTGGTGTACCGTGCTGGCGAGGCGCCAGCGGATCGAGGGACGTGCGCGCGCCAGTCGTGCTGATCCAGGTCTGTGCTCATCCGCGGCGGCGGCGGCGTCATATCTCTCCTCCGGGCAGCTTGGTGGTGGCTGAAAGTGGCGCTCCGCCCCAAGAACTGCTGGTGCTGGTGCACGGGATTTGCAGCCGAGGAAGGTGAGCCGGACGAAGAAGTGGACGAGGCCGTCCGCGCGGTCATCTTGCTCGACTGCTGCATATCCCGCATGGCGATGAGCGACTGGAGGAGCGACACGGCCTGCGGCATCCGGGGCCGGAGGCGGGGATCGTCGTGGAGGCAGCTGAGCGCGAAGTTGGCGAGATCTCTGGCCGCCGACAGTGGATTGCAATGCAGCAGCCTGGGATCCAGGATGCTGCCCAGCTTGCTGCTGTCGTTCACCACGCCCCTCGCCCACTTGACGAACAGGCCCTGCTGGGATCCGCCACGCCCGCCGCCCAGGATGAGCCTCGCCATGTTGGTCTTGCCGCTCACAAGCTCCAGGAGCAAGATCCCGTAGGCGGTCACGTTGCCGGCCTTGGAGGCGTCACAGCTCTCCTCGCTGAGTAGGAGCTGGAGCTTGACCTCGTGCTTGTTCTTGCCGATCTTGTCCACCAGGACATTTGAGGGGCCGAATCGCGACGCCTGAGCAAGAGATAAGAAGAAAGCTCTTAGATCTGTGTGTCTGGTCGGCGTCTGGACGAAATCCAGATCGAGAGAGAGAGAGAGAGAGAGATCATGACTACTACTAACCTGGAAGGGGGAGGATTGATGGAGAAACGCCAGGCCCTGCGCAGCTGCCAGGGCGATCTTGAGCCTGGCGTCCCAATTGAAATCCATCCTCTGGACGCGCCCTCCTCGATTGTGATCCGATGCTGATGGTAGCAGCAGCAGCTCGTCCAAGCCCGCGCTCGTCTCGGACGCCTCAAACACCACCAGCCGCCGCGAATTGGCCAGCGAGAAGCCGATGATCCGGCACACATTGCGATGCTCCAGCTGGGTCACGCGATGCAGCTGCTCGATCCATTCCTCCTGCGACACCCGGCGGCGGCGCGATCAGAAACCCTCTCCCCAAGACTTGGAAATCGGAGCTTACCTCGCTCGTCGCGCAGGAATGGAGAACAAGAACGTCCACCGCTATCTCTTCCTGCTCGAGGAAGCACCGGTGCACGGATTCCCGCAGCTGGGATCGAGGCGCGAAGTGATTGCACAGCCGAGCCAAGCGCTCGAACTCGAATCGGCGGAGCCGGCTGTCGCGCGCGCTCCAAGAGCTGGAGATCGATGGCACCGGCGGCAATGGCTGGGGAGGCGAGCGGCCACGGGCGGAGAAATCCGTCGGCGCTGGCAATGGGTGCGGCCGCCGGACGCTGCTGCTGCGACGGGCATGATTCGGGGATCGATCTGGTGGTGGAGCCGCCGCTGGCATTGGCCACACGCTCGCATCTTCGTCGCCTCGCTTGATCTTCTTGTTCTTCCTGTTCTTGGCGCTGCCTCTGGAGAATCCGAGGCAGCCCATTGCTTTTGCTGCGCTGCGTGCCCTGGAATGGCGCGGTGGACCGTGCGCCGTGGTTGCGCGGTCTAACTTGGAGCCAAGGGTTATAAAGTCAACAATTGCATTGCATTACCCATGCATGGACATTGGTAATGTTTGAAGCCTCCAATTATGGACTTGGACGATTCAATTCAAATCCATCCATTCAACCATCAACTCCTAGGAACCAAACAAAAGCAAGAAGCTCTCCTGCAAACTCGGGGCTGACCTAGAACGTGAGATCCTGGCCTCTTGGTCATCTCCAGACGCCGTGCTTGATCCGGTGGGTGAGGTTGCGCAGGGTCAATCGTACTTCCCCCTTCCAAATTACGCGTTGCTTTGGATCTAGACTAGAGATTTTCTCCAACTCTTGTCAAAACCCTAGGAATGTGGGTAGTAGGGTAGCGGGGGAATGAAGGCGCTCTCCCTGCTGGCGCTGGCTCTGGCGCTGGCGTCGCTTCTCCAGATCCGCCCAGCTGCCGTCGCCAATCTGTGCGATGCCCTCGACGATCGCCAACTCCGGATCACGGGTAATGTGTCGAGCGAGCTGATTATCAGGTTCCGGGAGTACAGGCATGCGTCGATCCACAAGCGAGCGCTGCTGGAGGCGCTCCACGGCGTGTCCGGATGGGAATGGATCGATCGGAACAACCCCGCGGCCGCATTCCCCACGGATTTCGGTCTTGTTCGGGTCGAGGATGGGTTTGCTCCCGGATTGGAGCAGCAGCTCCGGCGAGTGAGCTTCGTCTTGGATGTCTCTCCACAGATGCGTTTCACGCGCTCTCCTCTGGCCGAAGGGAAACCTCCTGGACGACTGCGCACTGGTTTCAGCCACGATGAGCAAGAAGAGGAACCACTTCTTGGGAATGTGACGCTCAGCAAGCGTCACCTTCTCATCCAGGTAGGGGAGTTCATCTCTCTCTTCTACCGGTCGCTCATTTGGATTTTGATGGGGCAGAGGTCTCAAATAACATCCATGTTTGGAGCTGAGAAGCTCTGGGCGAAGGGATTTACTGGAGCCAAAGTCAAGATGGCAGTTTTTGATACTGGTGTAAGGTCGGATCATCCACATTTTCGAGACATTAAGGTACGCATCTCTTTTTGTTTTACACCTGTTATATAGCGTACAACAGGAAAGAACAAACTGGACAAACGAGGACACTCTGAATGACAATCTCGGCCATGGAACGTTTGTTGCCGGTGTCATCTCCAGCCAAGATCCGCAATGCCTCGGCTTTGCACCCGATGCTGAAATATACGCTTTTCGTGTCTTCACTGACGCGCAGGTTGGATTTTCCTCTAAAACTTCAAAGGTGACGCAGTGCCCGCAGTGTGCTTCCAGGTCTCTTACACCTCATGGTTCTTGGATGCCTTCAACTACGCCATTGCCACAAGGATGAATATTCTCAACCTCAGTATTGGTGGCCCCGACTATCTGGATCGTCCATTCGTTGAGAAGGTCTTCGAGAAACTTTAGAAATATCTTCTGCTTGTTTGCTGACACTGTCATCAACAGGTATGGGAACTCACAGCCAACAACATTATTATGGTATCAGCCATTGGAAACGATGGGCCCCTCTACGGAACTCTGAACAATCCTGCTGATCAAAACGACGTGATTGGTGTTGGAGGGATCGATCACAACGACCATATTTCGTCCTTCTCATCTCGCGGAATGAGCACCTGGGAAGTTCCTCATGGGTATGTGGTCACTAATCCATCTGAAAAATATAACTTACTCCAAGTTTTTCGGTTCCAGGTACGGGCGCATCAAGCCCGATATCGTGGCCTACGGACGCGATGTTTTTGGATCCAAAATAACTAGCGGCTGTAAGAGCCTGTCCGGAACAAGTGTCGCGAGTCCCGTTGTTGCGGGTGCCGTATGCCTTTTGGCTAGCGTTGTTCCTGAGAGCGTCCGGTGGAGTATCTTGAATCCGGCAAGCATGAAACAAGCGCTTGTGGAGGGTGCAACTCGTTTAAATGGTCCCAACATGTATGAACAAGGTGCTGGCCGTTTGAACTTGTAAGGTGTCTTTCTTGCGCTCCCGAGTTTTCATGTACTAACGTGAGAATGCGCAGGCTGGACTCTTACGAAATTCTTGTCAATTACCGTCCCCGTGCCAGTGTGATGCCGGCCACCCTCGACTTTACAAGCTGCAATTACGCATGGCCGTTCTGTAGGCAACCGCTTTACGCTGACGCAATGCCAACGATGTTCAATGCGACCATTCTAAACGGCATGGGTGTGATAGGCTACCTGGAGTCGCTTCCTATATGGATCCCCGGGCAGAACGGGCAACTGCTCAACGTTCGGGTGACGCACTCGACGGTGATTTGGCCGTGGACAGGATACTTGGGCATCTACTTAGAGGTGACAGAAGATGGTGCCAGTTTTACCGGTGTAGCGGAAGGAAACATCACTTTCACGGTCGTCTCTCCGCCAGCGAAAGGCGAGAACCAGTCGAGAAGAAGCTCCGTTGTGCTACCCGTTAGAGTTGCAGTGATTCCCACTCCACCAAGGGCCAGAAGGATCCTCTGGGATCAGTTTCACAGTATACGCTATCCGCCAGGTTATATACCGCGAGATTCATTGGACGTCCGGAATGACATTCTTGACTGGCACGCGGACCATCTTCATACAAACTTCCATGCCATGTTCGACGCATTGAGAGATGCCGGCTACTATCTCGAGACATTGGGATCTCCATTAACTTGCTTCGAGGCCAGGAACTATGGGACTTTGTTGATGGTCGACCTGGAGGACGAGTTTTACCCGGAAGAGATTGACAAGCTTCAAGATGACGTGGAGAGGCATGGCCTGGGGGTGATAGTCTTTGCGGACTGGTATCACGTGGATACCATTGTCAAAATGAAGTTCTTTGACGACAACACTCGAAGCTGGTGGACTCCTGCCACGGGTGGTGCAAATGTTCCTGCCTTGAACGACCTGCTTGCACCATTTGGTATAGCTTTCGGGGATAGCATCTTGAACGGAGCCTTTTCCTTAGCAGGGGAGCGGTCTCACTACGCTTCGGGCACAGATATTCGCAAGTTTCCTGCTGGGGGGTTTATACACAGGTTCACTTTGCAAGACAATTCTGCTGCAAACAAAGCCGTCAGTACAGCTACATCGAGGTCTTCTATCCGAACGCAGGTAAGGGAGCATCTTCTTTGCATTACAAGCATTGATCACGTCCTTGATTTTGCAGGTAGAGTCACCAGTGCTTGGAGCTGTGACGGCTGGAAATGGACGCCTAGCTGTTTATGGCGATTCAAACTGTTTAGACAGCAGTCACATGGTAACAAACTGCTACTGGCTCCTGAGAAAGCTCCTGGACTTTACCAGCGACAACGTCTATGATCCGGCACTATTCTCCTCTTCCAACGAGCTTTCCTCGCCCCTCGGCGGGCCGGACACTCATCTGCCGTTACGCAGACCGGACGTAAATCTCACGGGTTATTCACTGGTGCTCGGCCACAAGATGCAGTGTGGCAGTGACGCTCCGACTAGCATCCGGCAAGCAGTGTACGATGGTAACATGGACAGACGCTTACACAGGTCGCTGCCACAACGCCAGCCAATGGGCAACAATATCAACTTGAGCTCGGAAGGCACCAGGCCTGCAAACTTGTCCTTGGCCAAAAAGCAGAGTACCATGCTGGATGATCGACATCAGAGGCATTACGCGATTGGTAAGACTGCGCGGAATCAAACCGGTCATGTGGCGATCTTACCAGTTTTCTGGACGCGTGATGAGGTTAGTGCTCCACTATCTCTCTCTTTTTGCTCGGCCTTCTAACAAGTTTATGCTGCAGTTGGAGTCCCCAGTGCTTGTCGCAGTTCACTGGTTCGTCCCTCTGCTTTTGTGTATAACAGGTAAGGAGATGAGAAAAATCCCGTGAATGGTTTTGATGTGTTCTTCTCCGCGTAGGATTCATTCTGACACTGAGCTTGTGGCGGGTACGTCAGAGGAGGAGAAGAAAAGCTCGGAAAAACACGGGTACCCGCTTGTTGATTTTCTGAGCTACGTTTTAATTATTGAAGAAGAATAGTATGCTTTCAACTAAACTAGTTGATATATGTTTGAGACTAACACGTATGGAGCTGGATCGCCCGATCCCAGCGTCACAGACTTGTTTGCTGCTTTGGCTCCCATCTCCTCGTCACTGTGTGTGCTGCATGCACCAAGCAGTGTTCTCCAGGCAATTTCATCGGGTGAATAAGGCATCTGTGTTACCAAGTCTTGCGCGTCACCCAGCAGTCCAGCCCTGCTCAGAAGATCGACGACGCAAACGTAGTGGTCTCTCGACGCTACCACGCCAAAGTCCGCCTCCATCGACAGAAAATAGCCGAGGCCTTGGCGGACTAACCCTCCATGGCTGCAGGAGCTGAGAACGCTCAAGAAGACCACCTCGCTGGCCTGGATGCCATGGAGATTCATCGAGTGGAAGAGCTCGAGAGCATCCTGGACCAGCCCACTGTGGCAGTAAGCCGCGATGATGGCTCCCCAGCAAACGGTGTCAGCGTCGGGGATCCTCTCGAACAAGCTCCGGCTTTCTTGGAGGAGTCCACAGCGAGCGTATCCCACGATCACCGCCGTCCAAGTCACGCGGTCTCGAGTTTCCATGCCGTCGAAGATGCTCCTGGCCTCGCTCATCATCCTGCTGCTCGCGAAGGCTTCGATCATCACGTTCAGCACGACTGTGTCCCACTGAGGCATGGCGTGGAAGAACTCCTGAGCGTCTGCGATACGACCGCAGCGAGCGTAGACCGAGACAAGGATCGTGAAGGCTGCTAAGTTTTGCTGTGGCATTGAGTCGAAGCTCCTCTTTACCTCGTCGAGATTTCCAGATTGAGCATAAGCTTCGAGCATGAGCGTGAACACGACCAAGGTCCGTTGTGGGATTTTCTGGAACAAGGACGCGGCTTCTATCGCAAGAGCTTTCCGAGCGTAGCTTTGCAGCATCGAAGCCCAAGACAAGGAGCTCCTCTCGGGCATTTCCTCGAAGACCATCTTGGCTTTCTCCATCTGTCCGGTTTGGGCATAAGCTGAAAGCATTGCATTCCAAGTGACTGAGTTCTTCTCTGGCATCTCCTCAAAGAGTTCTTTGGATGTTTCTAGCTTACCGCTTTGTGCAAACGAAGAAGCCATCGTCGTCCACGAGATCACATCAGTGACAGGGATGAGATAGAAGATTCTTTTCGCTTCTTCAAGTTGTCCTTTCGCGGCATACGCTTGCAGGATCAAGTTCCACGACACCACCGAGCGCTCTGGAAAGATATCAAAAAGGTATTTTGCCTCCAACGCTTGTCCAGCATCTGCCAAGACACTCAACATTGCGTTCCACGATATGAGATCAAATTGTGGCATCTTATCAAACAAGAGCCTTGCCTCGTGAGTATGCCCATTGTGGGCATACGCCTGGAAGACGGTGGTCCAGGTGACGACATCTCTTGCGCTACAACGGTGAAAGGCTTCTTTCGCTTCATCAAAGAGCCCATTATCGACACAGCACCGGATATAAATGTTCCACGAGAAGACATTTGGGTGTCTTATCTGCAAGAAAACCTCCTTGGCTTCGTCCAAGGCACCCAGCTTCCCAAGGGCATGGATTAAAAGGTTACATAAAAACCTGCACTGTGCATGATCCCTCTCATGGCTGCTCGTCGTGACACTGGCATATGCACTCTTGACTGCTTCGAGGTTAAGTGATCTGACTAAACTGTAGAACGCATTCCTCGTTTCTATGCAACTTTTCATGAATTAACGTTACTCGGAGTCAGGGATCATCTCTAGACAGAACACAAGGATCAGCATTTGACTCGGAGATACCAGCTTCTCGAACACCATTGCTTTGCTCTCAGACACAAATGGAACACCATGTAGGCTTTGATATGGGGTTGTTCCGCATGCGGTGAAACACCCACATCTGATTTCTTGCAAGATTTGAGGTGGGTTTTTTGGCATTGACTTTTAAAGCCAGGCAAGAAAGTTTAGACATTGAGCGAGTTTGCAGCATGCCATGTACCCACTCAAAGTCATGCTGCACAGCAGCAGCATCCGGATGATTAATCACGAAGGACATCCACTCCTTTGTGCACTCGCCAAGCGATGCAGGAATGGTAACCTGGTAGGGAGTGTACTTTCTTTGTGCTGCAGCTGCTTCCCAAAGCATGCTTGCCATGTCAGGCAAATTTAAGCAACTGAGCTCAGTCATCAGTCATTGTGGCTCGCCTACCATAAACACCAAGTCCTGCAGCAGCTTCTGCCTTTTGAATATCAGGGCAGACACGAACTGCAGCCCCAAAATCGTAGAAGTAGAAGCAGCAGCCATCTTGTTGACGTTCATTGTACATCCCCACATTCCTAAGAGTGGTATAGAAAGTAAAAGACCCTGAAACCTAAAGTTCTTTCCTAATCATTGGAGTCATGTGGGAATCAAGGGACTAACAAGTGAAGTGAATATTTGAGACAAAACCATAAATTCACTCACAGTAATCTTATGTATTTAAATATAGGTAGCATATTACTAAATACTATACATTGGTATCCATATGAAATATCCATATATATGACAAATTCATTACATATGATTTATGTACACCACATGTCATTGGGCGTACATAAATTGAGAGGGGTGTCATGATTCTGTAAAAAGTGTGCACGAATTAATGCATTATGCTATAAGGTTTTGCAGACAAAAGCAATTTTGTCAAATAGTGAGAAAGGAGTGATTTAGAGCATTTGATCCCAGTTTGTTAGAGGTAGTGATCTTGTATTGACAATTTTGTGATTAAACATAATGTAATGCACATTTTCACTATTATGATAAATTATTGTAGAATAACTACAGAGTGGAAGGGGAAACAAAATGAAATTTGAGTTTTAAAGCCTTGGGCCATTAAACAAAAAAATTGCTACACGTTGCACATAGCAATGCTAAAATTAGCACTATTTTCAATATACTAATGGTTAAACTTGAGGATATAAATACCTTTGACCTAAGCCAAATACAAAACAAGAACAGAAAACAATGTCTTAGATTAACATAACCTACCCATTATTATACCCCTCTTAAAAAGATTGACATCTTTGTTAATGCATACTTTAATTTAAACCCTGACTAAAAAAATAACCATTGAAAAACTCATACTTTGTAATAAATGCACCAACTTAAATGAGTTATATGAGCAAACAAATTAAATTCATTAGTAAAATTTAAATAAATTGGTAGTTAGAGCAACAACTTCAGTTAGGTCCAAACCTGCTGCCAAAAATGAGTTGGCAAACTTAAAATTTCTTAAAAGTATTTGTGGATGAATTCCAAGAAAGATTCTGATTTATTTTAGAAGCCATTTTAGTCACAACAAGAATGGTATTATAGAATTCTTGAAAGATAATGTGATAAAAACTATATATAAAAACAAAAAAGAAAGTGTTATTTCTAAATTTTATAAATTGATGTATATATCCTTTCAACCATATTTTGGAGAGAATCAAGCTTTTAATTGCTGTCCAAAATATCATATGCATGCAGCAAGCTTTTGTGTAAAAAACTGCTCATCGAAAATAACATAAATACAGAGAAGCAGATTAATATTAGCTTTATATCTTAGATGAAAGTGCGAGAAATGCCACCATATAAATAATAATAAAATGGTAGGCTTTTCGTGTCCAAGAACAATCTTGTGCATTCCCAACACCCGAGCCACCCCGGCACCCTACAATGCTGCCCAAAAATTGCTCATAAAGGGGCATTTGGCTGGACAAGTGTCTCCTTGGAGGGCCTTCAAGCTTAAAGGCAGCTTGCAAGGAGTATAGGAACATCGTGGGAGTAGAATGGAGTCTATCAAGACTAGTTATTTGTCCCTTGTGAATAACAAAGTGCTTCTAAAGCTTGCAAATCATATAACAATGTTAATCATACAAACCTTCTGAGCTGAAAAAATTGGTGAACCAAACGAATATTTTTTCCAAACAAGTGATTCATTTGGAATGTCCCAGAGCTTGAGCATGACCAGGCAAGAGAGTGTGGATAACACTCTGTCATAGAGTTACAAATGATGATCATCACCCCATGGCCTCCGGGAACTCGGGAAGAGAGCAGTGTCGTAAGCTGAAGGACTGAATTCCCCCTTGCCACTCGCGGCCGTGCGTTGTGTTATGGGCCGTGGTAGCGGGAGGCTAAGGCAGATTATTTTATGCTCTCTCATCTTCGTTCTCCGTTCTCTCTCCCTCAGCTCCGTTATGGCCCATTCTCTCTTCTCTTGGTCCTATTCTTGTGTATCCCGCGGGGTCTCAACATAATTGGCAGCCGTGGCCGATGATTAGAAGTCTCCATCTCTGACAGTGTAAACGACCTTTTCCATTTTGGCTTCGCTGTCCTTTAATCTAATCATATGAACTGAGTCGGCGGGGCCTTTGCAGCGAGCTTCATTACTTGGGGGGCGCTCCGAGACTTTGTAAACAGTATAAAATGAATAAGCTTACGACACTGCACACAGAAGATTTTTGGACACTAATGTCGGATACGCCAGCTAGGTTCTCATGTTCTCCACTGCTGCACAAGTAAGAGCAACAGCGGCTGTGCGGGCACGACTGCTGGGTCGTTTAGGCCAACGTTGCATTCTGGAGTATAGCGCAGCCAGGTAAGCCAAGAAACCACCCAGGCTGATTATGCGTTCTTTCTTAGTGGTTTTTTCTTTGCAATCCCTACTGCTTGTTGGAGCCGGAGCGTGGATCTGGTAGAGGTGGACGGGTCCGAGCTCGAAGCATTCTGGTGATGCTCAGTGACGAGAGTTCTACTATACTGTGGATGGCCAGCTGACGAATAGTGCTAGGACGAGATTTGGAAAGCAACTACTTACTGGAAATCAAAACAGGCAGAAGCTGTTGGTTCATCTTTGTTGTCTTGGTCATCATCCTCATTTTCAAAGTTTTCATCGTCTCCAACGTCTTCATCATCTTCAACGCCTTCATCGTCTCCAACGTCTTCATCATCTTCAACACCCTCATCATCTTCATAAACCCCGTAAAGGTCTTCAACTGGCGGGAACCAGAAGGGAACCAAAGCCTCACCATCTTTTGTGGCGCTGGGAAAAACAACGGGATACACCTCCTTGTGGCTAGTATCACAAGTTAATCCAATACTATCCCGTGTGAAGACAGTAGGCAGACTTGAAAACGGACCACGGTCCTCATTGATATGTGTTTTGTCATAATCGTGATGCAAGTCATAAAGGATGCCGAGTCCTTCATACCTGCCCCTGGCTTTGCACACAAACATACATGCCCCGTCCATCCAAGCAAAGTGCCACTCTTCCTTCAGGTCTGTAATCACCATCCATGGCTTGAGTGTATGGTTCTTGATGTTCAAGGCTAGCAACGAAACCAGAGCCTTCCACATGCCCTTATCGTTAATCTCCTGCTCCACCCACAGGGCCACCGCGACAAGATCGCCAAGGTAGTAGTACCTGAGCTCTAGAGGAAGCTGAAATGTGAGCTTGTACGGGAAAGGAGAGGAGCTTGATATCTTCTCGACTTTGCCACGTTGGTAGCCCATCATCGACCATTGATATAGAACATTCACGTTATCTAGGTACTCAAATATTCTGTCGATCATCGCCTTTCTCGTCCCCGGTTTCCAGCTAAAGGCCTCCGCCTGTATAGTCGTGGAAGGCTCTAACCATCCCTGTCCACTAATCACCTTGATCTTCATCTGGGAAAGGAATTTCTCGCACTCCTTGACATCCATGGACTGTAGATTAAGATCAAGCTGACCACGGCCGAGGATGCTTGGAGCACAAAAGATTAGTTCCTCCCCCGGATACACAAGATCGCTACCGGTGACGCCAACTTTCGTGATAGCTCTCATCAAACCGCCAGTCTGACCAGTTTGCCAGTGGAGAGCTTGGATAATCTCCACTGCCGGCTTTCCCACATCGGGAGCACTGAACACGCCAAGGACTGACCCATCTGCTTCCCTGACATGGATCAATCCAGTGTCTGCTTTCAGTGGCACACGGTAGGACGACATAGTCTTCATCATGAAAACACCGAACTGCAGAGGGAAAAAAACTCAAGAAGTCAGGCTATATGGGCATATACGTACCTCCGCACCCCACAAGGCTATCAGAGTGTCTTGACTATTCATTCTTGCGTGCACTAGAGTCAGGCCCTGCACTACGACTCGCTCACTAGAACAACACCAAAGTGACAAAGTTTACCTCGGTAGCGAGACGTGGTTCCACAGCCACGAGTGTCCAGTTAAGCGTTTTCATGTTGAAGAGAAACGTTTCTTGTTTGCCTGATACAAACACCAGTTAATAGAGCCACAGATAGAAAGAAAATACACACCGCCTACGAAGTAGCATTCGTCTCCAACCACAGCATTTCCAAAACATGCCCCCGGTTTAAGCATACGAGAACACGGGGACCAGTGCCGCTGCAAGAGTTCTACGTTAATTCTCCTCGTCCTAAGATAAGCATGACTTACGTCTTTAGGATCCAGAACATAAACGTCCTGGCAGAAACCGGACGCTATACGGCCACCAAAGAGGTACACAAGACCGCCATTACTCACAGCAACCCCGTGAAATGAACGGGGACATGGAACGCACCCGCTGAGGGAATACATCAATAAAAACAATGCAAAGACAATAGAGGTTCCGAACCTTGAATTAACCGCCTCCCACTTGTTGCTGTTCAAATCGAGGATGTGCATTCCATTGCATAAGTCACCGCAAAAAGTTTCGCCACCGAACACCCATGTTTTGTTATCAATCATGCTAGCAGAGTGACCGCGTGTTGCAACCTTTAATAGTCCCTCAGTAACAAAACGAAAAGAAAGGAAAATCTTCCTACCGGAGCTTCTCCTGACGTGGCTAAAAGTGACCAGCCAGTTGCGAGGGTGGTGTCCATTTTATAAACTGCCAAAAAACTAGTAAAGCCAAGAGTAAAAGCAAATAAACAAAACATACCACGCAACTTCACATCTGATGGGATCCCAACGAGAGCGATGAGTGTCTTGTCGGATACAATCTGGAAAGTCCATGTATGAAGCACAAAATAGTGTAAAGAAGAAACCCACCAAGCTATGCCCCGCGCACGAAACCGGTAAAGGCGGACCACTGGACCATTCCAGTTGTCCCAAATCCAAAAGCTTCAAAAAACCGAGCATCAGCAAAACAGGCAGGCAAGCCCAAAACGCTACCTGCACATCGTTTGTATAACGACCCCACAATCCCTCGCCTAGCAGCTCGCCTCCAACAACATACAATCTAGTGTCCACAACGGCTGCTCCATGCTGCAAGGTAGCTCTTTATAATGTGAACAACAAAAAGCGGAAACCTTACCAGCTTTCGAGCTTCTGCCGGGCCTCTCGCATCAACGAGTTCCCACTGGGCGAACCGGCTGCCCCCGAACCAGTCGAACACTGCCCCAATCATCGCTTCCACCACCCAAAAAACCCCCTTTGTTTTACCACTTTAATAACTTTAACATGCATTTGGTTTTCCATTCAAATTACTAATAGATCATGTTTTTTCAATTATTTATTTTCACATTTTTCTTTGCATTTTCAAATATACTTTATTGACATTTAGTTTAAAGACATTTAATTCTGAAATTATGTGACTTTCTTGGGCTGTGTAAATTGGCATATAAAATCAATGATGGCAAATTTTTTTTTGTGGTATCATGCAAAGCATAAACATGCTTGCATACTAAAACTCAAATATCTTTACAGTTCTATATACCCAACTCTATTGTTGATTTAATTTTGAAAATTATGTGAAGTGGATTTGTAGATTCAATTGTTGTTAAACTTTCATGTAACCATGCTACTATCTCCTTTACAATTTTCATTCTTCTTATTTGTGAGGGCACACTCTAGAAATGACTTTTAGTTTTTGCTTTTGATAGTGATCACAAAATGTTTTCTCCAAGTGGGATAATTTATAAGGATTTTTAATACATCACTACTACTTCTACTTCCCTTATATAGATAAATAATATTTAATATATATATTCTTTTGGTGGTGCTATATGCCTCTTCACATGTCTACCCATATACAGCAAGTGCTCAATATAACTTGCATTATTCCTCTAAGATAATTTTGTGATACATTGATATTTTATCAGATTGGAAATAAAACTTAATGTAAATACACAAATAAACTTAATATTATTTATAAATACATACTCATGAATAAGAAATAAAGCTTTATCTTGTAGAATATGCTTAGTGTCCATCATAACAAACACATTTTAACCTTATCATAGCATTTAAGAATGTTTTTCTTTTTGTTGTAAGAGTAGCATTTAGCATATAACACATTTATATTCTTTTTCTGCTTAAATAATGTTAGATAATTTTTTGAAACATGACCTCTTTTGCAAACATAAATATTAAAAAATTTTGTTACAAATTTTTACATGAAGTATAATGGCTAAGGCTTAAATGATATTTAATAGGGGAATCTGAAAAAGAAGTTCCTTGGCAAATATTACATTATTTTAATATTCATAAATAGCTGAGGAATTAATTCCTTACACTAACATAACAAAATCATTATAGCAATATGTAATATTTTATTTTTCTAGTAAATCTTTCTAAAGAATCCCTAAAACCATGATTGTAGCACACGTGGTTTTTACCCTTTATTTTATAGTGATTTACAATAGAATAACCACAAAGTAAAACCTAAACCCTCTATATGCCACATGTCTAAAAGACATTGGTGTGGAATCTGAGTTTCAAAGCATTGGGCCATTGAACAAAGGTGTGAGACATAAAATCCCTAGGCCCCAAAGTGGAGCCGGAAGGGTGCCACGTAGTAGTGGCCGAAGCGAAAGCCAAATGAGCGTAACATGTTTGGACTAAAAGCTCCGACTTGCAAGGTTGAGAGCGGGAGTGGAACTCCCAACGAAGTGCTCAAGGAACAAGCATGAAGCGAGCAATAAGCGAGGCTCCAAAAAGGGACCCAAAAGGACCAACACATGACACATGGAAGTGTCCGAGATGGAGTCCGAAGTGAAGTCCAAGATGGAGTCCGAGGCGGAGTTCGAGATGGACCGAGACGGAGTCCAAGATGGAGTCCAAGATGGACCAAGATGGAGTCCAAGATGGACTGAGATGGAGTCCGAGATGGAGTTCGAGATGGACCCGAGATGGAATCCGAGATGGAGTCCGAGGTCGAGACCGAGACCGGGACTGAGACCGAGACTGAGACCGAGACCGGGACCGAGACGGAGCTTGAGGCAGAGGCCTAGACTGAGCCCGAGCCCGAGTCCGAGTCCGAGTCCGAGTCCGAGTCTGAGTCCGAGTCCGAGTTCGAGTCTGAGAGGGTGAAAGCCCAAAGCGTTCGTCTCCCAGACCCTAGGGGGTTTGGTGAGCTCCAAAAGTATAGTAAGGGGGAGGACTACAGTGGAGCTAGTTTGGCCAGAAAAGGCCAGTTTGGCCCAAGAAGGCCAGACCCAGTGTTGGGTGATGAAAGGACCACTGGGAAGTCCAAGACTCAAGTGAATACGGACCGACAAGCAGGGTAGCTTAGTGAAGTGTTCAAGAGCTGGCTCTAGTTCCCCCGGGAGATCGACTAACTAATGCTCCTAGTCCAAGTGTGGGTGGCACTACCTACTTCGATACCAGGCGTGGCTCAACGGATCCTCGCTCTAAGCCCATGGCTAGAGCACCTAAAGGCGGAAGGTGGGGAGAGTACCCACGGGGCTCGCATAGGCCAACGGTGTTCCAAAATGTTGTACTGGAGTCCCAAATGGGGGAAAGGAGGAAGAGTAATCCTCTAGTGTAGTGACTAAGGATACAGTCATATGGTGAAGAAGTCCCGGAGGACCATGGGACTTAGTGGTCGGGCCTGTGGCCCTTGATCGAGTGGCAGTGTTGGCGAACATGGCCATGGACAGAAAAGGGACTTAGTAGGAACTAACAAAGGGATATTGGGGAAGGCTATTCCCCATGTCATTGGGCATCCTAAGGATGCTAAGGAGTGGATCTGGGATAACCACTCGTGGTCGGATGGCCTAGTCTTGGAGAGACAGGTTTGTGATGCAAGTGGTATTGGACCACTAGTGTGGCAAAGGTGAATAGGCATGGCCTTAGCGTAACGGGCTGATATGTCAGTAGTACCTTTGGGTGTCGGTCTTGGGACTGGACACATGGAGCACTTGGACTAAGTGCAAGGGATGAGTGGCATGGGTGCCATTCTCGGGGCTAGCAAGTCCCAAGTCCTGAATTGGACTTAAGGAGGTTGTGAATGAGACTCCTCCAAGTGGTCGAAGGTGTGGTTATGTGACTAAAGTAGAACGGAAAAATTAGTCACTTACAAAAGGTACGGAATTTAACTCCTAAGCATGGAGCCAAAGAGTGATGGAATTGGATTATGGAGCAACTCCTAAGCATACAACCCAAGGAGCAAAGGGATAGGAGCACGGAGCGACTTGGAATAATCCTAGAACATCTAGCATCCTAATGCTAGGACCTGTCAAGACCCCCAACAAGATCAAGACTGGAAAATGCTAAAGACAAAGAGAAAAAGCTAGTGAAAACAAAGAAGAGGCCTTAGAGTGGTGTTGATTCAGATTGTGGAGAAATGGAACAAGGCTAACCTATATATACTATAGGTTGATGAAGCTCCACCACTCTTGAATCTAGGACGGCCTAAATATAGCTGAGGTCGAGGAGGCACCACATCATCATCAGGAATGTGGCTCGAGACTCAGGAATCGGGAAGTGTCTCAAGAGTTAGGAATAGGGAAGTGTCTCGAGAGTCAGGAATGTGGTTTGCAGGTCAGGAATCTGGCGAGAGTCAAGAATGTGGCAAGAATTGGGGGATTCCTGACAGCACCCCCTCCTCAAGAACGAGTGGAACGAGGATGTGAACGAGAATGAAGAGGAGGATGAGATGAGCGGCGAGGGATGGGAGATGGAGAAAAAGAATGAGGAGTGGGACGAGAAGGATAGCGGCGGTGGAAGTCCTGGACAAGGTCAGGAGAATGAATCAGGTTGTCCGCAGGTTCCCAAGTGCGTTTCTCAGGTCCGTAACCCTTCCAGTCCACCAGATAGTAGAGTTTAGACCGTGAAATCTTGGAATCAAGGATGTCCTGAACCTCGTACTCAGACCCATCCTCGAGCTGCACTGGTGGAGGCGGAGGAATGACCCGATTTGGAATAGGACTGGGAATATAAGGCTCAAGGAGAGAGGAGTGAAAAACGGGGTGAATTTGATATGAGGAGGGAAGTGCAAGGCGATAAGTGACAGGATTAATGATGGCAGTGATAGGGAAAGGACCAAGGCGTTTGAAATCGAGTTTTGGACAGGGCCTGGTGGTGGAGATATTTCGCCTGAGGAGCCAGACTTTATCCCCGATATTGTAAGGGGGACAATCCTAATGATGGACATTGGCAAATGTTTTATGAGATTCCTGAGCACGATGGAGGTGGAAGGAGATGGAGTTGTGGATTTCCTGGAGGTTGGAGATAAATGCCTTAGAGTGGGGATTTGAACGAGAGGATTCAGATGGAGAAGGAAGTGAGAGATTGAATCGGGGATTTCGGCCAGAGTTTGCAAAGAAGGGGGAAACTCGAAGAGAGGAGTGAACAGAGTTGTTATAGGAGAACTCAGCAAGAGGAAGGATATCGAACCAGTTATCCTGATGATAGTTGATGAAGCACCTCAAGAATTGTTCCAACATCTGAATCGTTCGCTCGGACTGCCCATCAGTTTGAGGATGATATGCCAAAGAGAGATTGGCCTTCACTCCAAGCAGCTGCAAAAACCGTTGCCAGAAATGAGAGATGAACTGAGGCCCCCAATCTGAAACCACATCTGTAGGAATCCCATGAAGTCGGAAAATTTCCCTGAATACCAGTTTTGCCATGTCCTCGCCCGAAAACTCCTTGGTACATGGCAAGAAGTGCGCCATCTTTGTGAAGCGATCCACCACGACTAAAATGCTGTTGAAGCCTCCAGAATTCGGAAGATCACTCAAGAAATCCATGGAGATGGATTCCCAAGGACCTGAAGGGACCGGAAGGGAACAAAGCAAACCTGAAGGAAGGTGGCGAGGTACCTTATTCCGGGCACAAGTGTCATAGGAGGTAACAAAAGCTTTGATGTAGTCGTCCATGTGAGGCCACCAAAAGTCCCGTGCAACTAGCTCATAGGTTTTCGCAATGCCGAAGTGACCAGCAGTCGGGCTATCATGGCACGCCATCAAGACCAACCTTCGAGCATCACCTTCAGGAACGTAAAGCTGCTCCCCACGGTACAATAAACCATCTAAGAACTCGAACTCGTCAAATCGCCGATAGTCGGGAGTCACTGGGTGTCCAGCCTGAAGATGGGGGAAAATGTCGCTAGCGAGATCTTCGGATTGAAGATCGTTTCTGATTGCATCCATCAAGGAGGAGTCTTGAGGGGCCAGGGAAATT